AGAGAGAGAGAAAGAGAGGAAGGGAAAGACAAAAAAAGCAACCGTTTTGTGCATTCACAGAAAATTCAAATGAATGTTTCGTTCGTCTTATACTCTCGTAACTCCCGCGTGCTCACGCTTACAACAACCACGTGAAACAGCTTGACGTGTGTGAAAATTAGCATAAACAACAAATACATCAAAACGTGATAACTAATAATAATAATAAACTGTATTCTTAGAAAGGAGAAGAAGAAGAAGACGAGCAAGAGAGAGAGGGAGTGAGAGAGGGAGGGAGGATTTCAGGTGGAATAGCAGGCTATTCGAGTGGGCATTTATTAATAATTAATATAATTCAAACAATGTTTTGGATAATATGTCAAAGGCATATTCGATTAGAAGCTTTTTCATCAAAGCTGTTTGACATCACATACACAACATTTATAATTTCAAATCACAAAAGGATGAAGATGTGAAGATGAGCACTACGCATGTGACGTTGCAACTAAAAATGGAATTTTCCAATTTATTAGTCAATGTTATGCGGAAAATGATAGACGATCTGATGATCGTTGATGATGTCCAATGATTCCTTAACCTACTAGAGTAAACATGTAATTGAGAGTGAGAGGGTGCTTGAGAGAGAGATGAAGGAAGGAAGAAGGGAAAGGGGAGAGTAAGGGTATGAGTAAGTATAAGACAAATGGCAGTCACCGTTGCCATCCTCATCCATTTAAGTTCTGAATCTAACCGTAGACTCTACATCGTTTGTGGATGAAGGGGAGGAGCATGCAAGTATCGAAAAGGCGAAGAGATGAAAGGCATGAGCAGCCGAGCGGGGGCGATTATGGGCAAGTGCTTTATTGAGTTCTAATAAGGTATATAACATTTCCATCCAACTATTTACGTCATCTTCAGAAGCTTTGTGTGTGCCAGCGGTCAATTCAAGAGCTGAGGAAAAGACAAGCAGGAACTATGTTTCACATGTGCTTGTCGGTTTTGGTTCTCGCCAACTTGCCAAAAAACCTTCATTTCTTCTCTTTCTCTTGCACACAACATTTCTAATTTGTCCTCGTCGTCGGGAATGTGCACGAGCAGCTTCATAAGAGCAAAAGAAAACTAATTAATTAAAAGTTGTTAATTGTCCATATATGGATGGGGGCTAAGAGAAGCAAAATAATAACGAGCATATCAACACGTCACTCTATCGAAAAGTAAAAACACATCAGTTCTTGAGGGAATCAAAAATAGAAAAACAATCGTCTTGTGTGGAGTTAAGCAATCAATATCGGATAATGATATGGTATGATGAGAAGGATAAGAATGATAGAGAGTGAGGGTGTATGTTGGTTTGAGGTCAAAGTTCACAAATCAATCGTTTGTAGTTATGAAAGCAGTCGAGTGAAGCGAATGCACTGACGAGTCTCTTTGATGATTTCATTTTCATCTTCACCTATATTAGAATGGAAAGTCCCAAAGATCACATCAGAATATTTTTGTCTTTTTCTACTTTTAAATTCAAAAATATTCATTAGATTCAGTATGATTCAGAGTGACGATTTGGATCTGAGTTGTAGCCAGACAAGAGTTGGGGGCAGATGGAATGTGGGGTGGTTGAGGTTAGGCTGGTCGAAAATGACAAGTCAGTCGTGAATTGCTCGGAGACCAATAAACCTTCGGATGGTTTCAATTGATGACATATGGCAGCTTCTCACTTCACCAAGTATAGAGTCTTCTCAAACGTTTGAACTCTTGTGCTCAATTGAAACTCACGAATTATAAACAAAAATGCTGAGAAAAGTGATAGATGAAGAAGATGAGGAACAATCCTCCTCCCCCACCCTCCATTGTTTCAATTTTCATTTGAATTAGAGAAAAAAAAAATTTGTGGAAGCCTTGCAGAAGCAGCAGCAGCGAACGTCAGAAGCATGTATAAGTCTTCGCTTTGTTGAAGAATTTTCAAATCAACATACGACAGATCGTAATTAATGGAAAACCGAAACGAATCACATCTTTCCTATTTTGGTATTCGTCTTCTCCTCATCGTAAAGGATGGGAAAAAACTAATTCGAAAGTTGAATACAGTAGGGAAATGAAAGAAAACATGAAATTTGTTTAACAAGAGGCAAAGAACGATGAGGATAGGAGAGAAGTTATATGTTGTAACGATGTCCTCTCTTTTGTACTTTGCCATGGGAGCTTTTGAGTTGACAGCAAATTCATAAAGCATTCTCCAAACTACAATATGATTGCAAAAGACAGCAAGAAAGACATTGAGACAAGAGAATAGAGGAAGGTACAGCTTCAAAGGGTAAAAGCCAATTGGTCATACGAGGAGGTATTGTTTATTTGAAGAAAAAAGAAATTGTAAAAGATCTCCACTCAACCCCACTCACTAGTAGTTCATATTCGTACACATCATTCAGTTATCAACTTGAACGAAACATTAGAAGTTGAATGATGCAAATACCATATTAGCCAAACATTCGGTTCAAATTGCCGATGACAACATGTGCGAGCAGTTCATCTCAATTATACCCAATTTCATATTAATTTCCTCAAAAAACACATAGAGAGAAGGGACGGAGAGACGTTTAAAGAAACGTTTTGCTACTTCAATAGAATGTGGTAAGCTTGAAAGATGAATAAACATAACAGATGTAATTGAAAAACAAGTTGAAGCGCTTGTGTTTATGTTAGATTACCAAACTATCGCTCAACACAAAATGTTTCGTAGAGCTGAGCAGCAGGACTAAGCTTTGAAAAAAAAAAAAAGGAAGACAGAAGCTAATGACAGAAGAGATTGGTGAGAGAGTGAGAGAGAGACAGACAGCCAACTGCTTAAAAAGGTTAGTGAAAATTTAAAAAAGTCTATGCCACCAATAGAAACTGCATCTTCCATTCAAGAATATATGCAAGAGGCATTTTTACAGATTTGCAAATAAAACAAAACGGAAAAAAAACTAATTAAACTCATTTTGTAGCAAAAACACGTATATCTCTGTGTAGGTGAAAGAGTATGATAGAGGATGAGAGAGGTAGAGAGAGAGAGAGAGAGAGTGGGGAGGCAAAGAAAGAAAGAAGGAAGGGGAAAGGGAGGAAGAAACAGACTGAGGAAAGCTTAGAGAGAGAAAGAGAGAGAGAATATGATTATTCTAATGCTTTCCAATTATGAAAATCATCAAAGTTCAGAAAAAAAAGAAGTTTTTATGTGTTTTTTTTGTTGCTAATGTTACATCCGTATGAGCCAGCTTTATCAAACAAGGTAACGTCATCTCATCAAACACCTACGGAGTTTGAAAAGGAAACGAAACAAGAATGTGACACAAGCCGTTCTAATTCGAGTTATCGTCAACCTTGAGTCTAATAAAATGCTTTTCCATCACATCCTACTCAAACGATTAGAAAAAGAGAAGACAAAGAGAGATGACTACAAAGATGAAAAACTTCTGTGAGAGAGAGGGATAGAGAGAGAGAGAGGTGGATAGAATAACATATCACAAGCAGTAGTAGCCCATATGTGAAAGAGGAAGAAAGTATGTAGTATGGCTTTGATAATAAAGTAACTAACGTTTGTTTTACAATTCTGACGAAGTAGCCGGTTGTTAATGATAGCTTAACACTCTTCAATTCCATTTCATGACTTCATGTTTCGTGTGTACGTCCTGAAATGAGATGAAGATGAGTCTATCATTGAACACGAAAATGGGCACAACCGTTCCCACGTCTTGTAGAGATACGAATGACGTTTTTGGTGTGAACGCTTATTCCGCTCACGTGGATCAGTGATCTTGATACGTTCCGGCAAACATACTGTAAAAAAGTAGTTAGAAGAGATTAAAGAATAAAACCGATTTGTTTTTTGTTTAAGATCAGCTCTGAAGCTTATGCTACAATTACAAAGATGACGAAAACATAAGAATTGCAGTTCATATAGCGATGCATAATATCTGTCCAAGATTTTTTTTTGTTTATACATTACCATATATACATAAATGAATAAGAATTCTGTGAATCTGTTTAGGAGAAGCTATGTTAGTAATGGATTATGAAGTCAAAAGCTACCACCTACTTGTCGTGACGTCAGTTCAGAATAAATTCCTCAAGTTATTTTTGAGAAGTAGGCGTCAAACAGTACAGAATGACGTTGATCATCAGATACATAGAAGGATAAGGAGGAACAAAATCACGCCCATAAATAGAGATTCTGGGAGAAGGGGGGGAATATATTAGAGTAGTTTTGTGTACGCGGATATGTTTTTTAATGAAATGCGGTAGACATTTAGGAAATTTCTCATGAAAACAGATCTATTGGAGGGGATCGTGAGTAAGCCATAGCATGAACTCCTCGAACCGACTTTCAGATCTTTCCTAATTCCGGACAAAATATGGCTTCCATTTCAGCGTGAGTAACTATTTCTTCAAAGGCGAGCAAAGAGAGAAAAAAAAAAGAAAAAAACTGACTCAAAAACAAGCTGTCTGATATGCTTCTTAACTCGCAGCAGAATTTAATCGAATTTTTGAATGAAGAAAATCGGGAGGGTAACAAACACTTCTATTGAAGAGAGAAGTTTAAAAATCAACGCCACTCTGATCTATATTGTTCCTTTTTTCTTTTCTCCAAAACCGCCAAGCAACAGCAATACAAAGTTTCATAAATAGATTAATAGTATTTTGGTTTTGATGTTGAAAAAACATCATCAAGCTAACAAGACTTATTCAGAATCATTCTTCTCGTAAGAAATAAAAGAGGAGTAAGGAAGATAAAATGAGCTGACCTCAGAATTGTAGATGAGCAGAAATCCTTCAGGGGACACAACTTTCTGTAATTAAAATATGGAATAGAACATGCTCAAACATTGGAATATAGACAAGTTGGGGTGTCGATGAAGGCCAAAACCTATTGAGTGGGTAAATCTCTAATAACATGCTTTGATAGAAGAACTTCATTGATATAAGTAATGATTGTGCTAGATGGATGTCCTCTTCATTCAATTAGTGTTCGCACGGCTGTGTCCATGTTATGGAGTCGCATGCACGTAAGACTGAACTGTTCGGCAAGAACATTCACTACCCTTTGGACCTAAAAAAAGCGATAAATAAAAGAGTTTGAGGGACTTACTCTTTCTTCTGTCAGCAACTACAACATACAGCTTGTAGCTTGCGTCGTTCAAGTTGTAACTTTAAGCAAACTTTTTTTTATTTTTGAGAGGTTAGATTCAAACAAACCATTTGTTGCTTCCTTCATATACAAATTGTGAGTGGGCAGGAAATTTTATTGGAATTGCAGAGTAAGAAAAACTTAGAGACGACATCCTATTGTCACTTGACGTGCCCCATCAAACAGGCCTGACCAAAGCTTCTCCTTATACGGAACTTGGGAAGTCATTAAGCTGCAAAAGCATAGAATATTTAGAAACAATCCATCCCATTAAAAGCCGTGACGTTCTCCGTATGTCAAATAACGTTTTTTTCTGTTCTGATCTTATTTTTATTCGAAAACAAAATCGGCTTGTCCTATTAATAAACCATTATTTCTGAAATGCATAACATATACGAAGAGTCTTTTCCTTGTTGGGTACACTGAGAAAACATGGCATCCTAGAATGATAGTATTCTAAACGAGTGTCTCCCCAAGTTCAAAACTAGCCGGAAATCGCCCATCTGACGGAAGTGCAAGACAACATACACAAAAGAAGAAGAAGAAGATATGGGCTCCCACACACTAAGGCTGCCATCTTGGGCTGATTCATAATTATCAAGAGAGAGAGACAGAGGGGGAGAATAAAAAAGAAATGAAAGAGACATGAATGGTTTTTGGAAACAGAATCATCAAACTTGAACTTGACAATCAAAACAACTTTAGGCTCTAGTAGTGAGGTCGTAGAAGCGTGAAGTTCCGTAGAAAACAGTCGAATAACCTTTTATGGAAATAAAACGGTTGAGGGATTTGCGAGAACGTTAGTTTATTGCGAATTTCTAAATAAAACACATAAGAATAAGTACAATTACCCTTTGTAAATTAGCATGAGGGCTTCAAGAACAACGCTTGAGAAGATGAACATCTCCTGCAAACACAAGATTTGTAATTTGAAGAGTAAAACTTGAAGAGTATATAATCATTGATCTATAATCAAGTAATTTTCCAAACAAATAGAACGATTGAGATGCCGAGCCGATGCAAATGATTAGGAACTGGCTGTTCCCTCAGAAAACAGAAAAATATTATTGCGGCTTTTGATTATCTCCTCCAGCTTCTGGCACTGTTTTATCCACTGGCTTTCCTAAACTCCTATTGTTTCAAAACAACTCGTTTTCATCACCATTCATGATAGTCAGAATCCTACTCTCTGTCATTCCGTTTAGCTCGTGAGACACGAGATTATAAATTTGCTCACAGGTACAATCCTAGAAGTATGTGGTCATTCTTCTCGGATGGATTGATCAACTGGCTTACTTTCAAATAAGGAGGAAGCATCGTTTTAATCTTAGCCCAACCTACTGCGTCAAATATTTCTTTCGTAAGCCTAGGTACATCGGAAACGAACTGAGAGAGATCCTTGGATTCTTAAAAGCATAGTAAATGAGTTGATGAGATGAGTTTTGGAAATTAGTTCAATAAAGTACAATTAGATTTGAAATTCTGAGCGGTTCGTTCTCCACGTAACCTTCTTTTCACGTGTACAACATTTTAAATTCTGAGCATGCATAGACCGGTTGCATTTCTGATTCTCTGCCCTACTTACCACCTTCACCGGCTGTTGTACTGGTTGAAGAACTCTGTCCACTAGACCCTGCAGGCACTGAATTATCCACAGGGATGCTCTCTTGTTTCTTCTGAGCCATCATAAGAAGATTCAAAAACGATTTCAAAACTCACCTCGCTATTATCCATTCCTAACACTAATATCGATTTAACAGTCTGAAAGTCATTTTAATTGGTTGATAAATTGATGGCGAAAGATAGTCAGTGTTTCATAACTGTTACAGTATCTCTACTTGATTGGATGGGAAAAAACGTTTATTGTACAGCAGTGGTAGCAGTAAAGGGAATTGAACAATCATTCAGGTAAACTCTCTTGTGAGCATTTCACTTCATCCGGATTTTCAAACAATGCTTCGGCTTCACCAACGCCTTTTAGCAGACTTGTTCGGATTTCTCTTCAATGAAAATAATGAGTAGTGCAGTTGAAACTAAATATACTTGAAGTAATTCTTGATGGCATCTTCGCTCGCTGATCGACTCATAACAGCACCTTGTCTTAACCTATGTGCAGTTCGAACTAAGATACGCCTTAAAACCATTTCTGGAGTCATCAATCTGCAAAGTATGATTGTGAGATGTGTTTGTAGTATCTTTGAACCTCTTATGTTCCCCTTCTGCCCTCAATTTAACCGCCAAATCTCTAGCCTCCTCTGTGATAGAAGCAGGGTATGTTGACAGTTGTACGAGTTCGAAACCTATAAACGAAAACAATATGTTTACCAATTCGTATTGTATGCCTCTACTATTTCATTATTCTATGTAGATTAGTCTCCAAACAATCCCATCACATTTCAAATTTTAAATTATATGGCAAGGAGCCATATACCTTAACGTTGAGTGATAGATAAGTTGCATAAGGTTGTAAATTTTTACGACTCCCATCTATATCCAATCGATCACTCTAACGTTATCACCTCAGGTAATATTTGCGGGGTGAACAGAAGGAAGGCGGAGCTATAGAATACAGTATTTTTCAGACAGTATACAACAATAAAACCTCACGAGGCTATTTGTGAGTCACTGTTGAGTCATCAGCACTCCGGACCATTCAACGGACAAACAACAGTCCAGCCAAACTTCTGAGCCATGCCTATGTTATCGCGACAGAGTGAATCTAAGGTAAGAACTATGAGTTAACTCTTATGTAATCAATACATTCTAGCAAAAATGGCGAGGAGCCGAACTGAATATCTCAGAAGATTATTCCAGAAGCTTGAGCTCCTATTCCAGTAGTTCCGAGCCTCAGACCCCATCGCCACTGGATGGCAGTTTTAATGGGCTTTTACTTTTCGATACAATGGGTAAGCTCATTTTTCGTTTCTGAAAATTAAAGTACTTTCCAGACTTCAAAAATCTTAGGAACTCTTTCAATCTCTATGACTGCAGAGAAGTCGAAGATCATACTGTAAGTTCATTGTTTCTGAAGAATTAGGAAAGTATCGTTTAGGTTAAGCAGAAAAGATTACCACCCAGAAAATTCAAGAAAAGTAATAGAAAAGTCAATAATTTATATATGATGAAGTCTCAAGAAGCTACGGTAGGGATATTCAAAGAGGAGAGGATCATGAAATCTATTTCCAGCTCTTCAATTCACCTCCCAAATCTATTCTAGTACGTCCAGAAGAGAATTTCACAGTTATCGCGAACACAGATTTGGAACGTCCTCAGCCGGTTCAAAAGGTTTTTGACAACATGTTTTCTTCTCCTGAATGTAGAATTGCAGCAAAGAGAAAGGGCTGCGTCCGTTACAACTCCTCCTTCGAATAGATTGAACATTGGTCGAATTAGATCGAATACGATTTGTGCTAATAAGGTAAACATAGTGTTATTAATTTTGTAATATTCTCTCCCAGACTCTACGAACTGAGGATAACCGGAGAGATCGTCTCTACAGTACCGAATCGGAGAGTAATGTATGTTACAAGAGATGTTCTCAAACAATAAGAATTCTGTTATAGGATTGCGCTTACTGCAAAAGTATAGGAAGAGAACATTATGGACACACGAAACAGAAATGCCCTCGTATTGGACTTCTAGAGCCATGTAAGCTCTGTGGAGCTGAAGGATATGATAATCACACCGTCACGTAAGCTTTGACTATCACTAGTATCAAACGTAGTTCATAATATTTAGCCACTGCCCGAGCTCTTCGAAGGTTTATTTGGAGCTGGATCCTTCATTCTCGGAGAGACTCATGAGAGCACAACGAGCCAGAGGTGCTGTATGCGAAGTACAATAAGATATTAGGATAGTTGAAGACAGATAATTATTTTTAACCTGTGAATATAACCCGCTTGACTCATATTATTACTCCATAGTTACCGACATCACATCTAATCTAATCCCCTTTAATGGAAGATATTAATGTCCCATTTTTTTGTGAGAAGTTTGATTCATTTTTCATTGATAAAGTTTGACTTACCGTATAACGGTCCAGTATAGGGTCCTTTGTACAGTTTATGAGTTGTTTGAATACTCTCTATGTCATCATCCAGACGTTCGACTTGTGGATTGAAATGAAAACTACAACTCTGATCTATGGAAAGCTGAAGCAGACTACTTACTTCTCAACTGCAGTGTATCTGGAATCTAAAGCAGAAATATCCAAGAAGTGAGTAGCATATATAGTGTATGACTAAATATGGGTTTCAAATGACGAAACGACTGGCAAACCTCTCTGTGAAGCAGTTCTTCAGCAATTGCAAAACTCATACTCAATCCTTCCTCGGTAGAAGTACCTAAAACAATAACAGAAATAGCTTGAGTCTAAACTTACTTCTGGCTAATTCATCAATAACTATCAAGGATCTGCTATCAGCGTAGTGCAAAATCGCGGACATATCTCTCATTTCCAATGAGAAAGCAGAGAGCCCTTCCACAAGTGAATCGTTATGTCCAACTCTTGAGAATATTCTCGAGAAAACTAAGAGAGATTCGATTATTTTTTTGAAAATGTAATACCGGGGATTGTAGCGAATTCGGCAGGGATCAAAGATCCCGCTTGTGCTAAGATGCTCAATTGGCACACCTGCTTGAGGTAAGTGGACTTTCCAGCCTGAAGCTGACCTTCATGAAAGCACGTAACTAAGCACAAACCATATTAGGTCCCGTGATAATAGCAAATCGGGAATCAGGTGTCAAGTACTGAAAAAGTAACATTCATCAAGATTTTAATTAATCTATAAACTGTGTCATTTGGAATCACATTCGATTGATCTTTATAATCCAATAGAGGGTGCCTACCGTTTTTCAATAACAACGATGGCCCGAATTGAGGACGAGCTGAAATTCTATTATACATACGAAATAAGAGTTCAATTTACAAGTAGCAGTGCTATAAGCGTATAGTGCTAAACTGCATAAGTAATCGCAGCTTGCTAAAAAGTCGATGACTTTGTACACTCCGGGAATGAGATGACATATCTGATAGAAGAATAAACCCACGATACGTTTTGTTTTTACCAACCTTCTCAGTAATTTCCTCAGCGATACTACCGCTCGAAAACATTACCTCAGCGACGGACTGGTTAATTCGATCTTAAGTATTCATGAATGTTTCTTTCGGTACAAATGCTATTGTAAATACCATTATATCTAATGAGATTCCTAGAAGTAAAAGTGATGGAAGCTCGGTTTCTCACTTCGTTTGTGAAAAACTGGAAGTGAATCTAAGTTCATTAAGATACTATACACTCACCGATGGAACTTTCACCGTGCTCGCGTTCTTACACACCCAGAGATAATGAAACCCCCGCGCCGCGGAATAGGCTAGCCTTGTATTCTCTCCTGGGAGATACTTTTCAGTTTCATAAGCTGGAAAACCAAAACTGCAACCGTTCCGATCGTGTGCATTTACCTTGACGTTCAATGTCTCTATAAAGCTCTTCATAAGCTTTTCTTGCTACGTCCAAATGAACAGATATTCCTTCCTGTACACAACAATTTTTACGTCTTCTTCCTGATTCTATATTTTACCCTGATAGCGAAGCATTTTTGATTTCTTACTGTTATAGAATTCCTCTTCGTTGCAATCAAAACTGAGCTGTCAAGTGCATCGTCTAGCAATTCATAGATGGCAGCTATACGGCTGTCTGATATTTCCTGGAGACACAGTTGAGATGCTTACTCGTTTAACTCACTTACCTTCCTTAGATTAGTCAAAAGCTCAGCTCTGACATTTTCGAAGATTTGATGCAGGGCGCCAACAATATCTAACGTTTGCTTGAGTTTCAAAAGCTAAAGATTGAATATACTCAGATAGATTATTAGAGCTGAAAGTACCTGCATAATCATATGTTCAGAGGATTGTAAATTTCTTTCTTTCGCTTTATGCGAACACACTGTTATTACGCTCTCCAAGTCATGCACTTTGGATAGTGCATCTCGTAAACGCTCCAGCAACTATAATTAGTAATGAATTTTATAGACTTTCACAAAAACTTCTTACATGATGATCATCCAACAACTCTTCAATAGCATCGTATCTCTTGTTGAGAACTTCTGGATCAGCAGAAGGTTGCAATAAATTACTTCGCAACAGCCGAGCTCCACTATTTGTAATTGTATGATCTATCAATGTTAGCAAACTTGCTTTGGTCTGAACTTTTACAGCCTTAATGCCAATCACCAAGAAAACACTTACTCTGGCTATTTTGGGAACACCCACAGGGTCAATAAGCTCAAGATTCTTCCATGATCCAGCGTCTAGAATGAAAACAAAGCTTAAAATGCAAAAGCAACCAAACCAATCATGCAGGATCTTTCAACGTCTAAGAAAGTGAAACGCAAAGAGTTCCCCATAAACAGCAAATTCTGTACATGTTCCACATATTTTACAAGCGCTGCGCAAGCAGCCATAGCGAGCTTTTCTCTGAACCGCGAACCATTCAAAATTCATACTCCTTCACTTACTGTTGTTGAATCACTGTATCACAGTTCGAAATTTCAGCGTTAGCCAGTTGTCGTATCAAGGTGGCACCTTTTTCGTCATGGAAATACCTTGCAACTATACACTAGACATTCGGCATTGAAGTGTGTATACCTCTTGTGAACTGTTGTGATTGTAACTTCAGGTAAGGCATGTTTGAGAGCTTCTGTTAATAGTAATCCTCCTGACCTATCGTTTAATGAATCGGCTAATATAATCTTAATTAGAGCTTCCAGCTGAGTTATAAGCAACCAAATAACCTCAACAGGATCTTCTACTTGAATTTTTGTTTTCAACCTGGTGTAAGAAGTGGAATCTATGAACTGATACAAATCCACATTCGAAGTTCGAACATCCATGACTGCCATTCCAACAGATCCAGTTGTCAATCCCTTCCCTTCGAAAATACCTAAGAAATTACTGATCTATTTCCTCCAACTTAATAGTTACTAGCGATCGTGACTGCATAGAAACTTCTTGAAGTATTATTTCCTCCCGAAGTACGACTAGCTTTGGAACTTCCACCATCCCCAAACTTGTATTTCGGTTGGGGATTAAGAGTAGACAAATCGACAGCATTACTTGCTGTCGAATTTCTAGACATTCCGCAACTAATCTATGATGATATCAAAGACGGCGTCCACTGATTAAATTTACATAAAGCGCTTTGTCTTCGTACTGAGACCATTTCGGTCGGCATTTTAGACGTCTAAATTATAAATGACGGAACGCTAACTGTGTTCACAGATATTGTTACAGTTCGAACTGTCATAATCATAAACAAAACACAAAATAAATTATTTTTACACGTAACACACGTGCATTCATGATAAGCCTTCATTTGGTAATAAAAATGTGACAGAGCGGTTGCATACTTCAGCTGTGATAATTACGTTTCTATAGATGAGGAACAATCAGAGTGCCTTAATGAAACATTAAGTCGTAAAATATCTTTCCAATCTAAGCAAAAACTTCTGTAAATAGAAATGAGTTTCGAGTGTGCCTTTCCTTCTTCTGGCCGCCGTTGATAAGAATTTCAAAAGTCATGAAATTTAATCGGGAAAGCGTAGGAATTTTGTTTGTACATTACATCCGTCTTTCAACTATTGCTCATCTCTAATTTGTATATTTACCCATCAAACTCATATCTAAACAACTAAATCATAAATGTAACATCTATTTGAATGTACCTCATGGAATTTCTTTTTTTGACATTTCAACTTTCGACTGAGAACCATCTGTTCTAGTAGTATTGATTCCGATTGTGAACTTTCTCCTTAAAATCGAAGATAATATGAAACGTTGCTGATACTATAGTCACTTTGTATTACATAATTTTGAACTGTTATGGAGTGTTATTTCATCATTCTCATCAATGAATAATGACCACCCACATTTGGCCGAACAGCACAATTACTAATATACAGCTTATTCATTTCGTTAGTTATTAAATCAAAACATTCCTGCGCATTCGCATATGTGCTTGTCTAATCAATCTATGAGAGGAAACTGTTACGCCTTCGCTTTTCGAAACTTAAAATATTCCCAAAGTTTGTAGACTTTTACGACTACGTGTGTCATCCTCGTAAGTTTGGCTCTCAAAATCATTACGTGCTCGAAATTCCTATGAAAAATGACAGCCCAAACTATTTTGTGCAGTCCTTGAGTCATCTAAGTCTTATGGAAGTAAAAGAGAATTAGACCCACCCAATTTGCTCATTTTCATCCTGAACTAAACTCCTCGTTGACGCCCTTCTAATGCTTATCATCCGCAAAGAGCAGAAGAATGCGATAGTTAATCTTATATAAACATTTCCGTCGGTCGTCATAACTGTTCTTGAAAATCCTGAATTCAACGAATTACTAGTGATATTCCTTTCAGCTTGAATGGTAAAACTACTATTTATTTTACTATTAATAATTAGGCCATCCTATACATTAAGTATGTTTCATTTGCTTAGTTACGTACAATTACCGTTCCTTCTTTAGATGCGGGTTGTATAGAGCAATACGATGTGAAAGAGAACTCAAAAAGTATTTATGGCGGCTTGAACGCCTTTTATAGTATTGCAAAAGGTATTGCTGATGGCTTACAAAGGCAGCTCAGTAACTCAACTATGCAGGTTAGCTCATATCATTTCTCATCTATCCAAATACTCACTTGTTTTAGGATTTGTACAATCTTTTCAATGACAAGAGCTTCGATGTAGACACCCATAAGGTTGTCAATGAGATATTCAAGAGCCAAGTAAGCTTGAACAAGTAATTATTGAGATGATCGTATTCTAAGGCTCCTTCCATAGTTTTTGCCTCGGCTGGTGTAGCCTATATAGCAGTTGCCGTTATAGCAGGAATTGGAGTTATCATAGCTCGTTGTGTATGCAATGCCTGTAAAGCAGATAAGAAAAATGTGAGTATGAGAGAAGTTGGCCACTAACCATGTATGATTTAGGCTGAAGCCAGCTCAAGATTAGGAATAGCTTTCATGATTTTTCTTCTGCTTGTATGCTTTTCATTCATTCTGACGTCAGTTATCATATTCAACATCAGTGCTACTCATCTATATAACTCAATCGATCAATCTGAAGTGAACATTAATAATGTAGTGATAGGTTTGTTCAATTATTTTCTAAAGAATCATCTAATTGCATTATAGATTTGAGCCGCACATTGAATACAGGAACAGACTCCATGAATTGCGCTGTGGCTTCAACAGTCAATCAGACATTCAATCAGATTGAAAACAGCGCTCAAAACTTCTCGACAGGTCTAGGGAACGCTTTTCTCATATCCTCTTCACTTTCTCCTTTACAAAATGTTTTAGATGAACTTGAGGTACTCTTAACTCTTATCAAAACGAAAATATTCGGATACTCTTTTGCAGATCTCATTGCAATTGAGCTTAGAACTTGCTACAAATGTGTCAAATACGGCAAAAAAGATTGAAAATGGTGAAAATCTTGTGCCAGCCTGTATGAATGACTTGGAGTTGTTATTCGACAAAACAACAATATCGACTGAAATCATGAAACAAGACTTAGAAGTGAGTTCTTTTCATCCAAAAATATACTCAATACGCAAAAAAACTGCACAGCTGAACTGACCGGTTCATTCGAGGTTCAAATAAGAAATGAGAATTACCCTACCAGATGCGCGCCAAGTCCTCCAATTCAATCAATAATATGAAAATACATGAATAGGAGATATATGTGAAAACAATAAGATTCTTGTTTGATTCAGATAGTTCGAGAGACTAATAAGCTCGTGAAAGAAACTATCAAGCAATTCAATAACAACTTCGCACCAGTTCAAAATGGAGTGAGTAGAGAAGGCAGAAGGAATCACAAAAAACTTTCTATTTAGGTGAATGGTCAAGTAGGACAAATAACAAACAACATAGCTCAAGTTCAATCAGATCTTAATAATGCTCTGAGTAATATTTCTGGCATAGTAAACGCTACAATGGAAGTTGTAGACCATTTACAGAATGCTATTTATACTGCTCGGTACGATATTGTGACGGTAAGATGCATCTTCCCAATTTCCAAATTTGCATCGATCAATATATCCAGGATAACTCTTATGGCCTAATTAAAGGATCTATTAGAGCTGTGATGATTATACCCAACGTTATTGCTTTGTTCTTCGCTCTCTTCGCCATGATTGTTCTCACATTCTACCTTTTCAAACCTACAGGTAGTCACAGTTCGTTTTCTTTTCCTAATTGTCTTCTAAAGATCATCCGGCAAACAGAGCTGCTGGCTACATAATTATCGTAGGAGCTTATTTAATTATCTTCTTGACTATCCTCTCTATGGGAATAGCTGTGTAAGAAAAAGATTCCTTACGTCTTCCAAGACACTAGCCTAATTTAGAACCGCTTTCTTTGGAGGATGGGCAATGTCTGGATCTTGTAAAAGTCTTTTCGAAGACGATACTTTCCGAATTTACAGTTTAGCCGATGAGCTTAGTTGGAAAATCTACCCATTAGATGGGCCTCCGGTTGATGTCTCGGCTAGGTTTGTTCGTCTATTCAATACATAGAGTGACCTCTCCTCTTCAGAGATATTCTCGTAGCTTGCTATGCTAATGAGACAGTCTTTAGAGCTGTTAAAGGAGATCAGATCATAACTACTCAGATGATTGATCAAAACTTGAACTTGAACTCCTATGCAGCTGCAATTGACAGTACGATTGAAGCTTTCACATTCACTTACCAATCACCTGGTAATGGTAGACAAATTGATGTAAGGATATCATTATTAATCTTCGAATTAAATGGAATTGTTGAGGCTGACCAAAAAGGAACAACAAATGATTACAACAGCTATGATTTTGTGCTGACCAATTTCTTACCCAATTGTGATAACCAGATGAGTGCATCGTTCCAAATTCTCAAAAACACAACAACCAGCTTCTTAAAGTATGTATGCTTGTGGGAAGTCATTTAAACAGTTTCGTTTAGTGAATACAAGATTGTTTCCGACCAAATGACGCAGTTCAATGATCTCGCTAGAACATATAATGATCCAGAAGGAACAGTTATGGGAGGTAAACAAGGGATGGTCGCTTACACAAACGATCAGTTCAATAACTCTCAATCACAAATCAATCAATCAACTATCGACTTACTGGTTACTATAATCAACTATTACCTTCTAATACCATCCCATATTTCAGAATGAGTTAGATACAAACATATTCCCTGGAATTTATTTATATTATAACTTTGAAAATGCGGGTACCATCATGTGCGATACTACAGGCAAACCCGTACACGGGTTGTGGGCTTCTGCTGGTTCAACACGCGCTAACTTATCTTTTTTATTGCTCATCGTTTAGGTTTGGCGGCCATTTTCTTCATTCCATTATCAATTATTCTGTTCTGCGCTTCGTCAACTCTATTTACCAGGTATATTCTGACTTTCTATTCCATTTCTCTGAAAAAAATAATATTTGTGAATGAAATCTCCTTACTCCGTTTATTTCGTTAAAGCTCATTCTAGAAGCAACCGCTCTGTTGTCATTGAATACAAAAAATGATGACTGTTTAGTCGTTCCACGTATCACGTGAAAATGACGCATTACCTACTCTATTAATTTCAGGAACAACTTTGTTGAAATGGATAAAATGAGAAAAGAGAAAAAACTTCAGAAAGAGCGCTTAGCAAAGGTGAGTTCGATGAAATTATGCAAAGACTCTTCTTTCTTTCAGAAAATCCAAGACGGCAATGAGTCAGAGATCTCAACAGAGCTTTTCGTACGACCTCGAATAACTGCTCTGCATTCATCGCCATTAGATGACTCGTAAGATTGATTAGCTATGACGTGTTAACTGACTGAATCATGTTGTAGAGCCTACTATAACCCTTATGCGGACGATGCATTCAGAAACACAACTCGAGTCTTTCCTGCCACACCTACTACAGTCCCCAAGCCTTATCTGAACAGAACTCCTGATTTGAGCCGGTATATTCATCCATAGTTCTTGATTTTCAAACTTCCATTGCAGCTATGACTTTCCCGAGCAAAATGATATGAGTAATAATTCGATAAAGCTACGACGTTATACTACAGCATCAGCTGATACCTTACCTAGTCTAAGAAGATTCGATGAGAATGGTAAAGAGACAGTGCGTGGTTTGAACAGAATATCTGAAGCTGATGAAAGTCTTTTCGAAAAATCTAAATTACGCCGATTTGATGATACATATGAAGGTATAAGCAATACCAGTAATACCGGTGGTTTGAGAAGAATGTAAAGTTGTTATGAAAGGAACTTATTTATTGTATTTATTGTTTGTTATACATATGCAAAGAGAGAATGAATATATTAAACTAAACCAAGGCTTACTTCTACAATGAAATTCTTCTTCTTGTTATCGTCTATGACGATAGCTGACAACATTCTAAAATGGAATAATTGTTATCTCTAATCAGTCAATCAATAAATTCAGTAGCTCATTGAATTTCAAACCTGATAAGCAGAAGTTGTGACTTACACCTGTGTCGGAAACACCCAAACCCTTACTGCATAACTTAGCAGGAAACACGTTCCCACTGTCCAATTCATTCTTCAATACCAGCCATTCCGTCCTCATTATTTTGAAACTACTATATATTCATTCATAACGTTCCAGAATGAAATTCTTCGTGCTGTTACTGGCTCTTGTCTCAGTTGCTCATTCGTTTGACAGTACTTTCAAATATGGTTGCGATTCAACCAAATGTGTTTACCAGTTCGTAGTACCAGAGGTTTTGCTATTCTGCTAATACTTATCACAACTTTTACATTTACAGGTCATATCCGCCTATATTGATCCTCAAATCTTCAGCGCAGATTTCAGCAACTTAACTAACAGCATGAACGCTCTTTCAAGCTTCTTAGGTTCACATGAAAACCTTTCACCGACAACGTCAAATCAGTTCCTTTCTGTAAGATATTCTATCAAGCATCGATGAGTCTTTTAACACAATACATTTTAGGCGTTCGACCAGAAATATCAAAGTCAGAGTCCTGCCATTAACGCCACCGTGGATACAGTTGCTAACATTGATCAAACCAATTACACTGTAAGTTTGAATTAAATAAGTTGTTAAAAAAATAACTTCTTAAGGCTCTGAATGCTGATAGTGTCTCTTTGTTGGATCTCTCCACTGATTTGGTAATAAAGGGAGACTGCTTTGTCGCCGGAACGGAGACTAGTAGCTACTGCGGAAGCAAAACGAAGCATACTACAACTCCTGCTCCTTCAAGTGCCCCAGCAACTCAACCTTCGGGTGCCCCAGCAACTCAACCTTCGGGTGCCCCAGCAACTCAACCTTCGGGTGCTCCAGCAACTCAACCTTCTGGTGCTTCATCAACCCAACCTTCGGTTGCTCCATCAAAAGCATCTTCGGGTGCTTCATCAACCCAACCTTCGGTTGCTCCATCAAAAGCATCTTCGGGTGCTTCATCAACCCAACCTTCGGTCGCTCCATCAGATCCAGCTCCTTCAAGTTCTTAAGAAACCTTTTAAGTTTAGCACTCATGTTATCCGAAATAAACTTGAACGGCTTATGCATCCGCAGAATCATATGATATGAATGAAGATGATAACATAAATATATTATTTTATAAACTATCAATATACGTCATTTTCACAAATTAAAAACAGAAAACTGTGAAATGAAAACGAGATAAACGAACAAAAACATTCCCTGATTGATGGATAATACCTGATATTCGGATAACGGAGAGGAGAGGAGAGGAGAGGGGCGGGTGATAAGGGGTCATAGTTTATAATATTCTCTTGAAATATCTTTTTTCTACATTATGTACAAACAAACGAGTAAAACAAATAGATAGATAACGTAAGAGACATATATAGGAGATTCTTCGTTTAAAACCAGAACGTGCGAAACTACAAACACAAACATATAATCAATAATAGAACTCAATAATACTTTTTCTAGCGTGGATGCAAAATACCCGGATATGTTGAGGGATCAAAATTGAAATAATAACTGGGAGGTTGAGATGGTAGGTGAACATGTTGTGCACCTCCTTGAGTTGGTGGTGGAGGATTCAATACTAATTGAAGAACAGGCACTGGATGGCTCATTACGGTGTTGGCGTATTCCGGAGGAGGCTTTGGGTTTGGAACGAACGTTGACAGCTTCTCATTGCCCATGGCTTGGAAATTTTGTTGAGCAAAGTTGAGAGATGGTGCTAGAGGCTGGCTGAGAATCATATTCTCTAACGAGGGATGGTTTGTCCAACATGGAATAGTTGATGGTTGGATGGCAAACGTTCTGCCGATTCCATTGGCTTGATTTGGATACATTGCAATCGGATGTGGAATGCTCGAGTCTCCATTACATTGCTGAATGGGATTTCCACAACTTTTGAAAGCAGAACTATACGGTAGACTTTCTAGAGAGTTCTTCATTTGATCTGACTGCTCCAAAGGCAATGTAATATTTTGACTAGTCCCGGTTGACAATCGAATATCACTACTAGCTGTTTCCGGTATCAAGCCAGAATAGTTAGACGGGACATTCCACGAGAACTCTGATGATTCGGAACTCTTCTGAGACACACTCTTCCTTTTCAACGTCGGCGGAGAGATGGATGCAGGACTGATAGGTGAGAATCTCATCTGACCTCCATTCCAGACAGTTGTATCTATTGCCATCTTTTTGGAAGGAACTCCATTTTCGTTGGTGATGGAATCGGCCTGCTGTAACATCAAGCTTGAACTACTTCTGCCGGACTCACAACTGAGAGAACGTTTTTCACTGATATTGTTAATCTATAATAGTCTTGAATTCAAGAGAATGCGTTGTAGTCGAACTACCTGAGATGAATCCAACGAACCCACAATATCAGTTTCCCGGTTGGAGCTACTCTCTAAGCCTTGGTTGATGAAAGCTGGATCGTTGAGAAAATTTGGGACGAACATCCTTGTGAAAGATTTTTTAGGCCAACAACCTTCGTTGACCAAGATGCATAGAGTGTTAGCATAATCATATAGTAAAAGAAATTTGTATTTTTCTTTTCTCATATGTTCTTTCACCTAGAGCAGCAACGTATCAGAATGATATGATGAATTGAACAAACTTTTCTCAGTCGGACCATGGAGATCTCCAAGAATTGGTGAAGAAGAAGCATCCAGTTGGGGTTGCAGGACAATAGATCTTTCTCGACAGCATCTGTAAGAAGTAGATGAGTAGCGGTAAGATGTGAATTCTAACTGATGGAATTGAACATTTTGAGTTCATCTCGCTCTTCACAAGCTTTTGCCAACTCATCTGAATGTTTGTGAATTTCGTTCTCTTTCACGAATTGAGCCAGCTGCAAAAATAATGTCATATGGAAGAAATAGGAATGATTATCCAAACCTGTCCGCTACTAGGATCAGGATGATTCGAACTCAGCTTCCGGAGGTATTTCGTGATCTCACTGTTCTCATTGAACATTTTACCCAGCTGCTGCAAAAAAAATAATCAAGTGAGTTAACTATAATTGGAAAACGAAATGAGGCGGTTGAGAGGAATGAAAGGAGATGGAGAAGCCGTGATGATGAACAGTACGAACGCTCATTCGACAATGGAAGTTACTGTCAAAGCTGATGAAAGGAAGTCTCTTATCTTAAGGATACGGTAGTAATGATTGCAATGATAAAAATGACATATTTACTATGGAAAAGTATGGATGACGTTAATTATTTGTCTAATATAAAACAAAGATGAATATGCTAATTTCAGTTGTCAGAAATCTTATATGTAGTTTGGTATGTCAACAGATGGGTAAGTGAGAGCGATAGAGGCACAACATGGAAGCACATAAGGAAGCAATCAAATAGAAATTCTCACAACGTTCTTCTATTTCACACATCTAACACGTAAGCTTCTGAGAAAGTGACGGTAACAATAGGACAAAACTCACATTCAAACCACATAATTGCTCTTTATCATACAACTCTGCATACAGGTTACGGGCATCCCTCAATTGGTTCTTTAGAAGAGTTTCCTTGTTCCGTTCCGTCAGAGCATCTGCCTGATGTTGGATAGACATGTTGATCATTTGAATTCTCATTTGCTCCTCGGAATTCTTGTCACTTTCTTCATGATCTTCTACATCTTTCATTCCCGGGGAACCGAAATCGCCTTCATCCGATTGTGTTTCAGCTGATATTGATCGATCATAGTAATGCTCCCTTTCCTGCCATCTAGTCCAATCCGAAGCTTCTGGTGTCGAGGTTTTTCTTTCCTTCTTATCTAAGACATTCGTTTTCAGCAATCTTTCTTCTTCAGATGGGACAGGAGGCATATCAGCGTAGGCATCATCTAGTTCAGTTGATGAACACTGCTTGATCAATTCCATGTCGAGTTCTTCTTGTTGATTATAGCCCTCATACCCAGATAGGAAGTAACTCTAAAAACAAATAATAAGAAATACAGTATATTCAAGTGAAGTATACACGATCATCTTTCAGAGTTTCTGCTTCCCTCTTGAATATTCCTAAAACTTGTTCTTCCAGTGGAGCAAAACGTCTTCGAGATTTGAAGTCTTGAAAAGCTTTCGTTTTCTCCTCATCCTGACGATCTGGACCATCAACTTGAAGAAGAAACTGCCAGTTATTAGAATCCAATCCCCAATGTACAACCCTGAAAAATCTTTTCCAATTAATACGTGCGGAACCATTAGCTGCAACGTGGGAATGCCGTGAAAGTGCAATCAATGTGCAAATTCATTTTGAACTGCGCGCGTGCAGAAAGCGGTTGTTCGAATCTTTGATGTTTCAATTATAATTGAAGGATTGAGAATTCAGAAGAAATATGAAGAAAAACAAACCCTGGTTCGATCTCTGTCGAATGCGTATGACAGACAAAGTCTTCGGGACTGAACCAATTATGACAATCAGTACATAGAATGCAGCATCCGCCTGTTCTTGAAGGAAACAATGTGCCGTACACGAGTTCTGGATAAGAATGATGTGATACACAGATTTCTTCACCGGGTAAACTGAAATGAACGAAAGTATAACAATGTGAAGTAGAAGATTGTGCGAAAGACAAAGAAGAATGATGAAAAGCTCACATTGATATGTCATCATAGGGTGTCGGTCTACTACTAAGTCTTACTTGGCCTAAAATTCTTTCAATATCAGATTGAGACATAAGATACATATTATGCTGAAAATAAATTATATGATTATGAGCATATAGTAAATTGAGTTACAATAGCATCCTGTGCACAAACATCATCTAGTTTTTGCAACAGTTTAGCTTCGTTTTCTAAAGCTGGCAATAAAGCTATATGTAGATCTTCTAAATGGAAATATAATCATTTGAAATATATATAGAAGTAGGTTAACCTATTAACAAGAATATTTCATCTTCTTTATATAATGGAAAGATTCTTCGGAGACAGGCGGACATCGGAACGTACGGCTCACCATTGAGCATAAGACAGGGCACACTATACCTGAAATGCTAATACGTCTTAAAGGTAATTTTAATTTTTTCAATTTTACTTTCCATCTAACTACCCCCACTCCCTCTCCTGCTCTCCTAAATCAGTTCTCTTCACTTATTGAAGTTTTATCTCACAAACAATCACACTCAATTGTACTTTGGTCATTCCTAGCTTTTGCAAATTGTTGACGAGGGAAAGCCGTACGAAAAAATGAACAAAACGACAAAAAAGGAGATATAAGATGCAACAACACGGAAGAGAGATTAACCAAGATCCAATACATTCGTTGCAGTCATAAAGTTATGAAATGCAATGAGACTAAATACGAGTGGGTTCACTAGAGGTGTAGAGATGGATAGATCAAAGAGCCATGAGACAGAGTGGGTAGGGTGTGGGATGTGGAGGGGGATAGTTGAGTAGTATGAGCAAGTTGCAGATGGTAAGATCAAGGAGACAAAGATATTAAGAAATTGAAAAAGTTCTTTGTCAATGAAGCTCTTCAGATGGCATGTACCCATGTTCTTCCTTTCATCTTATTAATTTCAAAAACGACAAGTGATTATCATTTCAGCCCATGAAATTAAAGAGCCCTTCAAATCAAAAATGGTCCAATAAATGGAAAAGCAGAGCAGGGAAAAGCTGATAGTTGGTACTTTTGATGCAAATGATGCCTTTCAAGTACGATTCTATAAACTTCTTTTGTTGAAAGGGTCAAATTGATAAGCCTCACTTGGGAGCTTGCAGTCACTATTATACATAAATACAAGAGAGGAAACACTGGAGCAAAGTAACTGTATATGTGTGTGTGATTGAGAATTTAAAAAGTAAAAGTCAAGACTAACCCATTGATGGAAATGAATTTTGGTTCAACCAGACGTACATCCTCAACGCTCCTATAAACTGATTGTTTCAACTTATGTAAAAACAAATCATAGGAAACACGTTGAGATGTTGTTGATGTTGATGATTTACGATCTGATTCTTTCGTTTCCGGATTATCGTTAGAAAAAGACGTTGAAGATGATGCGGGACAATCTAACGGATGTCGAGATGAAGCCGTTGCGAAACGTTCTGAATCAATCGAAAGATGGTCAGTAGATGGCACGTTGGACAGATTGGAAAGCTCTGACGAACAGGCGTCTGAAAATGCAAATAGAATTATAAAGTTCAAATTGAAACATAAAATATTAAAACCTTGTTGTTTTGTTATTGTTTTGTTTTTTTCGTGCACACACGCACGCATGCACAAGACGAAAACAAGACCGAGAGGACGGGTGAGGGTAAGAGAGTCGAGTGAGGGCAGAGAATGGTCAAAACAAACATTTCGAAAATGCGTGAAGGAAAAAAAAACAACAAAAACAAAAAGTTACAATTGGATGTGCAGAATGAAAATACAAAAATCATAAATTGGAATTTCCGGTTTCTTAGAATTTGTACGAACTTCTGAACGTTGATACGATATTGCATAAACAAACAAAAGGTTCAAACTAGAGACAAACATAAGAAAGCAAAAAGCACCAAAAGATCATTCAATGTGTAAAGAGTTTGATCTCTTTGGTAAGAAGTGTCAAAACAAAGACGAAAGGAGAGCGACAGTGAAATATTCAAAACAAAAGCCAGAAATAGGAGTAATAAAGAGTGAATGAGACGCAAGCTCTCTCTTATGTAGAAGAGAATGACCTGAAGAGCCTATCAAACTATCTCCCCCCTCTCTCTCTCTCTCTGAAACATCCATATAGGGGAAAACGACGGAAGCTATACCGTAATTTCATTATCAAGCTTTTCCCACGTGTTCATCAGAGCAAACAGTTTCGATGAGAAAGTCAAAAATTTGAACTCAAAAAAAGCGTTTATTTTCATTCCAACTTGAGCTTCGATGAAGGCGCAAACTTCGATGCAAATGCAGGCAAGCTAATACTCAACTCATTAGAACTTGAAATCACAGCAGATTGATGAATGAGTAATGAAGTCAGAGAAGATGTGTGATAGTGAGATTATAGATGGATGTTATGTTTTATTTTCCAAACAAGGATGATGATGGAAATGCGTCAGATGAACGAAACGGTTCATGACTCCTACGTCATTGAGATAAAAACTATTTCAAAAAATAAAAAAGGAAAAAGGAAGAAAAGAATTTGTATATTTGCATACAAATCATAATGAACACAATACATGATAAGGTAAGAAGGAGATCTTCGAATAGTAAACAGTAGCTTCGATATTTCAAAACAGCAGCAGCAGCAGTGGAGGGTGGTCTACACCATGGGAGGTATTGGACTAGGCGGAAGGATGAGCGAAGGAAATAAAAATTTAAAAAAAAAAACAAAAAGTCAAGACATAAACATGGATGAGTACATATAATATGAGATGATATATATAAATCAATGAAATGATATCTATTGTGTGTGTATGTGTATAGGGTAGACAAGTAGATGGATGAGTAGGCTGAGCTCAATACCCGCATATGATAATTACTTTCAAGTTAATTAAATAAAGTTTTAAAAAAAAGCAACTTGTTCCATTTGTCCTCGAAATGTTCCCGCCTGAACGCTGATTGAATGATGGAGAAGAGAAAACTGTAAAAAAACAAGTTTATGTGCAGAAAGAGATAAACAACTGAAAAAAAAACATCTACGAACTATATTCTCGTGGCTCCGCCCACTTCGTTTTTACTTTGCTCAGAGTGAGCAAGTGAGGGAGAGCGAGACAGACAATGTCTATATATGAGTGTAAACAAGTAAACAAACAAACAAACAATCTATAGAAATATGAATCAAGAGATGAAATAGTCACGTAAGAGATGAAAGTAAATGATAAGAATGGAACTCACGTTTACTGGGTGGTGGAATACGTTCAAGAAGAGGATCTTCACATTCATTGCTATTCATATGGATGAGCATGGTGTAGACTGAAATGATTGCAGTTAAGTATATCTATAAGATAGTTAGTCTGGTTACATACACATACACATATAAACACTCACACACATACACACATACCGACATACACATAGGCGTCAAAGAAAGACAACACATGAGATGCAACCGTCTTTTATGCTCACACATATGAAAAGTGAATTTGAATAAGACGCTAGAAAGAGTATGTAGTTTCATCTCTGTTTCTCTCCCACTCTCAATGAATTAGAATAAAATTATGATTGGAACTGTCTTGAAAGACAAATAGAAATGTAATGACCAAAGAACGAGAAGTAGAGAAGAGGCTGATTGACATAAGTAAGTTAGTTATATTGATATAGTTAATGACGATAATGTAATAGTTAAGAATAAATCATTTTATAATAAATAAGAAAAAAGCAATCCAATATCTTAAATGATAACTACTAGCAATCCTATTGGGGTAACCAATGATAGGGACAATAATGCAATTGCAGACATTACTACTGGAATTTCGAAAATAAAGAAAAGGTGCAAATGGTCTTAAATGGTTTGGATATGGATGGGAAGAAAGATGACTGAAAGAGAGAGAGAGAGTAAGAGAGAGAGAGACAGAGAGAGTGTGAGAGAGAGAGAGCGAATGGCTTACACCGAAAAAAGATTTTTGAACAAAAAAAGAAAATGAAAATCGTTGTCATCACGATACAACGAAGCAATGAGAGAGAGAGAGCTCCCTCATTGAATGCAATTCAAAAATAGTAATAAGTAAATTAATATAATAAAATAATAATAAAAAACAACATTTAATGCCAGTTTAAAGATATTATAATGGGTGGGGTCAGTTTGAGAATGATGTAGATGATAGTGAGAATTGAATGATCTGATGTAATGAGAGTACCCCTTTCCTTCATACCCCCCCCCCTTACTGGCTACCGCCATTCTTGTCTTGTAGTAGGTAGATTACCCTGGGGCGCGCTATCTACCAAGACAAACGGTTTATAGGATGAAGACAGAAAAAAAAAGATATTAACATTAAAAAGAAGCATATTGTAATGAAATCATAATAGAAAATGAAAATGAGTGAGAGTATGTACATGATATCTTAATAAACGAATGGGAACGGTAAAAGATCATTAGGATGAACTACAGACAGTGCGAACACTCGCACCATACACACATACACACATACATGAGACAGACACATACAACTAGCCAACGGAAGAAGTCAGGAACGAAGAATGATTACTTCAAGTTAATAAATCAAAGCTTTTCGTTGTTTTCTCTTTCTCTCTCTGTCTGTCTCTCTCTCTCTCCCCCCTCAATGATAACAACTATAGGATTTCCACAGATGACTATGTGTGAGAAAATGTAGTTAATGCTGCTCATATTTTGCATATCAATTTTTGACAAAGTTTTCTTTAAGATTTACCTCCGTTTTCCATCTAGCAAAATCTGTGTGATTCATCTATTTGCTAGCCAATCCGCCACTACATTCACAGTCTGGAAAAAATGTAAATTTCGATATATCAATTGGAAAAATATGAAAGAAAAATAATGAATGACACAATGTGAATGAAAGTAATAAGAAGGCGGAGATGATGAAGAAGAAGAAGAAGGAGGAGGAGAGCTTGCAAAGCATGGGAATAGCTCATTGAAATTCATCTACGTAGAGGAGGTATGAGTCAGAATGAGGATGACTGTGATATTTCCTTTTCGGAAACTTTAATCTATAATTAGAAAATAAAAATAAGAGGTAGGTATATGTGCCTATTAGCAGTTGAGAAGATGAACTTGGAAGGTGAGAGGCTAGACCTGAATACTAATTGATAACAAGCAGAAAGAGAAACGTTACACAAATCTAGAAAAATAATGAACGAATAGATAAAACGTTAAAGATGGGGGTTGACAAGGAGCAATCTGTTTGATCAAAACAAAGCAAAGTCTGAAAAATTAATGCTCAGTCTTTACATCAAACCTTTCAAAGCTGGAAATTTTCGTGGAAGGCGATAAGGCACGTGACTGATAGTACTCTCATTAACTGATAATCGCATTTGTTGACACTTGTTTCTTGTAACATCTTTCGTTCAGTCGAAGCAACGCAGTTCGAACATTCGAATGATACTGCAGTCAAATGATTTCGGGCATCTCACCTATCTTGGCGTTGTGCCATCAAGACAATACCATTTTCAGCCAATCATGACGATATGCTTCGTAATTGAAACATTGTATTGCAACCTGTATATATGTATGTTTGTGTGTAGATGCATGTCTGTATGTTCTTGTGTGCACAAGAATCTGGTATGAGAAAGGACAAAGCGATTGGTTTCAAAAAAATGTTGCAGAAGGAAGTAGATATAGGAGAATGATAAAAATCCTTTCACAACTAACTATTGCACCGTAAGAGAACAAAAACCGATTATATCTTTGACTAATTTCTATCGCTAAGTACACAGAATGAAATGCTCTCATCTGAGAGTCTAATTATAGGCGTCTTGTCTGTTCCACAAAAGCTCAATGATCCTAACATTGGAACGCGGAAATACCAGCAGCATCAGAATCAGCAGCAGAAAGAGTAGAGACAGAGTACACAAAAGAAAATGAAATGTTTCACAAAACTAATCGGAGACAAATACTATTGGATAAGACAGCCATAGCCTGTCTGATTAAATTAGATCATGGACAAGAAGGACTGACTAACCTATAGACAAACCCAAAAACAGTTCCGAAAAAAAAGAAGAGAAAAAAGAATTTATCTTCAAAATCTCTACATAAAATCTTTGGAAGCGCTCTTTCTACAGACAAACAATGAAATGAAACTTCATGAAAAACGACTTCAAGGCACTACGTCACATGTACATCAAGTCAAAATGTTTATAGTTTGATTTGCATAACGAACAAATCAATTTTCATAGCCATCTGAGCATTCGAAGGAGCTAGAAGGATCTGATGCTGAAAGCAACAATCCTAGTCCTGAGAAAAAACGAGAATATTCCAAAGCCCTTGGTGACACGCAACATTCATAGAACAAACTACAAAGACGGTATTATCTTAAATCATGACAAAACTACATTCAAGTCCACAACAGAAACCATAGGATGATATATATGAGCAGGAAGGACTAGGGGGGGGGGGGGAATAGAAACGCCCCATGAACAAGCAGAATTTGTGAGAAGAATTGAATAATAAACCCACCTGGATATCCCGTTCACTGCTCAGCCTTAACACGGCCATTTTCAGGTGTTCATATTGGAAAAGTGGAAATCAGAATTCAATGCACTCAAAAAATTAGAGTTGATGAATAAACCATTCTGTTTTCCAACCTTCATCTGTGTCAAGCCCTTTAGGAGAAGCAAGGCTTGAAAATAACAAAGATTATCAGTTGTGCTAACATACTGAGTCGTTGAATTTTCGAAGAAGCAAATTAACAATTCTGTAAATGAGTCATACAATCGCACATGGCTTCACTCCAAATCTGAAAATGAAGGAAAATGTGTTGCTAGATGTTGACGTTCCAATAGAGGAAATGGAATAGTGTCTTTGAACTTTACACTTCATTCATGTAAATCATTTGCTTCATTGTATTTTGATCTTTCATCACTATCACTCTCCTGAGACTAAAGCCTGTAGCTAGAAGTGTTAGATCTTTATGTTAATATGTATCGAAAGATCACATATCTATATAAATATTATTGAAATTGGAAGGTGGTGAGAGCGATGAGATGACCAACCGATCTGGCGACTACAAAGTACAAAATGAACTTCAATGAAATAACAGCGCGCGAAAAGGTAAGCAGGCGTTTTTAGTTTGAATTGAGAAATTCACGTGAGTTGTGAACGGAACCCAGATAATGAAGCAAACATCGCCACTTCTGGCTTGGAAACGCGACTACCCGACAAAACACATCAATTGCCAAGGCCAAATACTTTGTAAAAGGAATTGTTTGTAATTAAGGAGAAGAAGAAACTTATAAAAATTTATTTGTTGTTATAACTATGATGTACAGTGTACGTGAGTAAATAAATAGATTGTAAACTCTGAAGTTAATAAATTAATTGAAATTAGAGTTTAGAAGCGAAATAAGTTAAGTGAAGTGTGGATGGCTCAACATCACAATCAGCGTTAAGTGAATAAATATTGCAATTAAAAGGGAAAACGAAAGGGTAAAAACATGGGTTAACGTTCGTAATTATGAATATCACATGAAGAAAAACTTATCGCAGAGCACCCATCACGAGAAAAGTGTCGGCGAGGGGGATTACACAGGTGAAAGATGACAACAAATGAGAACTATTAGTGGTGAAGTCGAGGATTCATAACCGGAAGCGAATGGAAGCTCTTCTGATTCAACAGGTATTGCACCGAATTACTCTGATCTTCTTAAACGGAATCTTCTTTACTCATTTGTAAGGGATTCACGTATTCGAATCCATCGAATTCGCTTTGATCGATTTTGTCTATCACGCTTGGGTCATCAGGCGTTAAGGCTGGGGCTTCTTCCGTGAAAGTGGAATCGAAATGTTGCAAATCCCGATCAGATTGTACAGATGGGTTGTAAGGTGGAGGAACTTGCCTCAATTCAAGCTGAAATGTTTGGCGGTGCAAAGATTCTGATAAGCCGGTGAACTTACGGATTCCCAATCAATGGAATTCTTGAAGAATGGATGTTCTTTCATGTCATTGAAGCCTTCTTCTATGTCCACCTTACAACCAAGTCGCTCTAAGGGGTCCTAAAGACAAAAGTTATAAATAGAGTTTATGGAATTCTGCAAACCTTATTCAAAAACTGCTTCAAGACCTGAGCGGCCTTGACAGATAAACTCCTAGGTATACGGATTTGCTTTTCCAAAATAATCTACAAAAGTTCGTCAAAAAACATCTGACACTTGAATGATTACTTGGAACAGGAAGTCTTCGGTGTTCTGCTCGGAATCACCTGTCATTCCAACAATATCGAAAGGTGACCTTCCTGCCATCATTTCATACCTTGAAAGGAGTTAACTAGGTCATTCCAGAAAATACCAAAACTTACATCAAAACTCCAAGAGCCCACCAATCTACACTGAAACCATAATCCTCACCACGAAGAATTTCAGGAGCGATGTAATTGGGTGTACCGCAGAAAGTGGAAGTGACATCTCCAGGACCAATGTTTTCCTACGAACGGAAAGTGAAACCGGAAGTATATGGCAACCTTACCTTGCACATTCCATAGTCCGTTAATTTGATGTGTCCATCAGCATCTATCAAAACATTATCAAGTTTAAGATCTCGATATATGATTCCACGTGAATGTAAGAAATGCAAGGCCAAAATGATCTCAGCAGAATAGAATCTGGAAAAATGTATTCGTTGAATTTTTCAGGAGACAACTAAAAACCTGGCATGATCTTCTGGCAACTTCCTCTGTCTCTGCATATGATACATCAGATCTCCTCCAGGGACAAACTCAATTACAAAGAACAAACGAGATCGAGTCTGAACAGAAATTGAAAAACCAAAAAGGAGCAACTGAACATACTTGGAAACAAGAGTGCAATCCTACAAGGAATGGATGATTGGATGCAGCTTCGAATACAGACTTCTCCGTTTGGACCCAATCGATGTCCTGACAATATTGAGACGAATCAAAAACTCATAACAGATGATGACAAACCTCGTCTTCATTGAACATTTGTTTTTTGATAATTTTAATGGCATAAATCTGATTAGTATGAATGTGCTCTGCTTGCACAACCTTAGCATAGGATCCTCGTCCAATGACAGTTAATAGTTTAAAGTCCTTCAACCCAACGGACCATCGACTAGTAGCACTCGGGGAAACTTCCTAAAAAAGGGTTTTAAACGTAAAAAAAAAGGTTGCTTACTGCTTGGGAACCAGAAGCATCAATCTCAGTTTCCTGAACACATAATGTAAAACATAAAATCAAACTACGCAAACCTGGAATGCACCGTTATCAACTCCTACTGTTGATCTTCTTTCTCCTGATCCTCCTCGCAATGCAGATGGTAATGGTGCAGGTGGAGGACGATGTGGTTGTTCTGCGAGAGGCTTCTACTCGAAAAAAATTAACATGCATTCAATATGTATGAGAAAACCTGTTCACAATGTTCTCGGACAAGTCTATGGCACTTCTTATGAACACATAACCTGCAGTCTACACATCTATATCCTTGACGACCTAATCCCCAAATATAATCATGACATATGAAACAGTGGATTCTTCTAAACACATAATGATAATGAAGAAGCAAACAAGAATGATTTTACCTGTTGAGTCTTTTGGCTTGGAACCTGTGACCATTGTATAGATAGAATTTCTTCCACCGACGTGCACCACGACGATAAACATTCCCTTAAAGAAAACATATGATTTGACTTCACTTTACGATTCATACTATCTTCTCCTGGACAAGGTAAACCAGGAAGTGAGGGTTGGCCAAGAAAAACATGGACATCAAGTTCTGCATCTCCGTTCACTTGAAGCATTCTCACAGCTTCATCTAATTCCATTTGAGAATCAATTGATACAGGATCGCCTGAACGAGTGAACGATAGAACAGCTGCATAAGGAGATAAGCACTTACCATCTTCATCAATCCATTTGACAGTAATTACCTGAGTTGTGTGTTGTTTGCAAGCATCTTTTAATAGCAAAATGAAAGAGTCTAATAATAAAGGAAGTTTAGCATGCTGAACGACAATCTGAAAAACAGTTAGCAGGTGCAGGTAGGAGGAGGGCTGTATTACCTGTCCTAAGAATCTTGTTTTGATTTTAATAGAAGAATCTTCTTCCACCATCCTTTATTCGAGACTCAATCTATAAATTTTACAATTCAATAACGTATTTTCATAAACATAACTAATTTTTATTAATATGGACGCATAAACTTAACGCGCACGCACGCACGCCTCTCAATGGGACACTGTTCATAACAGTACATTTACGGTATGCGAAGGAATGCGATGTAAACGATGAGAAGCAATTAATTAGAAGTCAATTAATTGGACAGTAACTTTTCATTTGTTAATTAATGTGTTGAAATCACTAAGTCAACATAACGACTCGATAATTGAGAGAACGCGAGGGATAAACCAACAAATTCAGATGGGTGGGAAAGAAACAAAGAGTCAAATAGAATGGTGCAAAGTAATCAGAGTTGAAGGAATCGTTGGAGTTTCATCCAAAAACAAAACGCTCCTATTGATAAATGAAACGAAAATACCTACATCTCTTGGGTTTTGGGACAATATTTTGCAAAACGGAATGATTTTCTATTTGATTGGAAAAAAAAGAGTAAAAAATTGAAATTTCTCTCAAAGCACCCTACATCAGACTATCATTCGTTGAATTACACCCCGTTGAATAAATTATATGTTTAACGTAATATTCTATCTTCTAATCTCAAAATATTTTAAAGCTCAAATGAATAGGTTGAAGAAGGTGTTGAAGCACGAGGAAACAAAGCACACCATGAATAATCATAATCGATAGTTGATATATGAATCATTTCCACAAGGCTTCAATGGCTTGAACTGTTTTCCCTACAAGGACCACACAAAACATCTTCCAAATCAATGAGCAAATGTCAAAAACCTCCGTCTTCATGTTACTCATCTTCACAAAAACGCTTCAATTTACAGACGTTTGTGCCGAAGACAGTGAACCGCTCAATGAATGCAACCGCTCTCTTGTAATTACCACGCAAGAATGAAATCAGTACGTATGGATCAGGACAGTTTTCAAGTGCACTAAGCAACCCTCTTATCAAACTCTTTCCGTTCGTGATGAAACAATTATTCATTGGTAATACGAACACCGCAACATATACATGGTGATAGCTAAACTTCATTTCACCTCAAGCTGTATACTTCCATTGACTTAGATTGGTTACGGCCGTTTCATGCAGCAACGAGAGAACAAGGGATAGGATAAAAGATAATTTATTCATAATCTACGCATTTTACAATTCATGCTCTTCAAAAAAAAATGATTAACTGCTGGAACGTAAATACTAGTATGGGTGAATACATTTACTGCTTGTTGAAGAATTCCTTGGCGTTCTTTGGGTCAGGCTTGATGGTGTCTTTTCCTGGGGTCCATCCGGCTGGGCAGACTTCTCCGTGCTGAATGAATTCAATATTATATCTTATCATCCTAACTACCAACCTCCTCAACGAATTGGAAAGCTTGGATAAGGCGAAGGGTCTCATCAACGGAACGTCCAACTGGGAGATCGTTGATGGTGATCTGGCGGAGATTTCCATGGGGATCAATGATGAAGAGTCCTCTGAAGGCGATTCCATCATCCTCCTTCAAGACTCCGTAAGCCTTGGAGATAGCGTGGTTAGTATCAGCAAGAACTGGGATGTTCATCTCTCCGAGTCCTCCGTGCTTGCGTGGCTGAAAGAATAACATACTACCGTCATCTTTACTTATTCACACCTGGTTGATCCAAGCAAGGTGAGAGAAAACAGAGTCAGTAGAGCAAGCAAGGAGCTGTACATTAAGCTTCTTGAATTCCTCAGCTCTCTCGGAGAAAGCGATGATTTCAGTTGGGCAGACAAAGGTGCTGAAATAGAAGGTTCGAACATTTTTTTGCTCAAAAACACTCACAAGTCGAGGGGATAGAAGAAGAGGACAACCCATTTTCCCTTGTAGCTGGAGAGCTTGACATCGACGAAGTCTCCGTCAACAACAGCCTGGGTGGCGAATTCAGGGGCGGGTTTTCCGATAAAAGCCTTGGACATCTGGAAATAGGAAGGTAATAAGGGCTAAATGGCATATGCAATTGATTGAGAGTATGCAACTCAACAAGACGACTCTGTATGAAATCGATGGCGCTCATAGAATCACCCATATCGGGACAACGTATTCAACTGAGACAACACGATAACACTTGGAATCGACGGTTCGAGAGAGCCAAAAACCGCGCGCGCGCGCGCGCAATTTCCCAATTAAAAATCGATGAAATAGTTCAATGTACAGGTCGGAGAGGTTGACATTGTGTGTGACAGTAAGAAAACCGAACTAACAGTCAACAGTAACTAAACAACTCGATCCCATCGAGCATGCGGAGGATTTAAATGAAGTAAACCATCCATTTAAAATTAGCCCGTTTGAGAGAAAAGAGAGTCGTTACTGTTAGCAGCTTATAGAATAGGTTGAATGATAAGAAAATAGGGATGCCAAGCGGATTGTAAACAGTTCTAATTCAATATTTCAACAACATAGTTGAAAAGATAATTTGGATCGAAAAAAATCAATGATGAAAAGGGAGAAAAAAAAAGAAGAAAGAACTTGTGCGGCTGCCAGAGGCGAAATGTGTCATCGCCCCGCACTTGGTCAATGGTCTTAGACAGCCATATTTTCTTTAAAGTTCTCAACGTATTGGAAGGAACCTTTTATACGAGAGAAAAAGACATAACCATTACGAAAATAATGATGACAATAGTTTTCGAGAGTTACGAAAGATTAAAGTGACGCCATCTACGTGACAAACGTGTAAGAAGAGGATCATTTCTCTCTGCATTGCGCATCAGAGCGGTTGTTGCTAGATTATAGCGGTGCAATTCGCCTTTAATGTGTGTACCCATTATCAGCACTTTCCAAAAAAGGAATAAGATTACTTATCAGAATGGGAAAGCTCTTCTTATGCATCATGAGGACTTGTGAGAACACCATCGAGTACATTAGTTATAGCTACATATACAACTACTTCATATGATTTTGTCTTGTGTAAATAGTCAGCTCTATCTCATTTATTTCTATGAAGTAACGAAGAAATGAACTTACTGGTAACATCCTGTACATAGAATGGGGTCTTATGTGATGCTGATACGAGGTGTTGAGTTAAAGCTAAAAAATTCTCAATGCTCGGGTTGCTATAGCAATTTTGGCGTTTCAAATGAGAAGGAGGTTGGGCTTCGATCCAATAACCCAAAGATTAATAAATATGCGAAACATTATATTGTTTGATATTCTTGCGTTACAGGTTATAAAAAGTAATAAATATACTGCCCAAACATAATTAAAGTTATTGCGAGCTAAGACGAGAGCAGACAATGTGATCCAGTTTTTCAGTGAAGCTTTGGAAAGAAAAGTTTTTCCGAACCCATTCCGGACCCTGAAAGGAGTATCATATCAATTCAAACCAATGAGAGTGATGTACTGAACCTTCTTTTTGAATTCAGTATTCGAGTTCTCAGCTAAAAGTTCCATAAAACGGAGAAAATCTTCTGGATTGTTCTCAGCAAGATATCCGGAAACACCATGATTCACAGTCTCTAATGGTCCTGAAAAAGCATATGACTCTCGTCATGATTGTGATCCTCACCTCCACTTTTGACTGCAATCACAGGGACTCCTAAATACATTGCTTCTACAGGTACGATTCCGAAATGCTCGTTTGAAGGTGTATAAAGAACAGCAGTACTATTCCGAATGACATTGACCTTAACATTATCATCTGGAAAATGTAGTTGAATCCCATGTATTTTCATAAGGTTGTGGAAATCTCACCAGGAGATTTGAGGAAAGTTATGCATTTCGATGGAATTTCCAATCTCTCACTCAAATCCACCAAGTCTTTATAGCATTCACTGTTTTCTGAATTAAGCTTGTCAAATCCACCAGCTATGATCAAGTGGGAATCATCAGGGTTGACTTTTGAAATGAAAAGAGCTGCAAACATCTAGGCATTACTATTTTGAAGAGCAAATTTTCACCAAAAGCTTCAATAGCAAGTCCTACGTTCTTCTTGATCTCATATCTATTCAGAGAAGTGAACACGAATTTTGCTCTATTAGGTATGCAATCTACCTTCTCAACGGGTATTTCATCGAAGAATTTGTTATTCAAGCTGGGATATAGAACTGGAAAACGAGAAAATCAGAAAAGAGTTGAGCTTCGCTTACCTTGTACAGGCTTGTCCTTTAAAGACTTGAATGTCTCTCTGAATACTCCGGCAGTGAACTTACTATTCACACATATGATGTCAGCTTTACCAGTAGAATACTCTTCTAATGAATCCAGATAATATCTATGATCATACGATGTTATGCTGTTGACTGATAGGTGATCAAATACCTATAGAACGACTTCAATCTTGACTCCCGTTTAGTTAGCAGTAAGTCTGGGTAGTGACAATAGAAAATCAAAGGAGCTTTTGAGAACAAACGGAACACCAAAAGACATGCTGATACCTAAAATCACTGATAGACTCGATTTTCATGAGAATCTAACTTGATCAACAATAACAACGTCATGCTCAACAAACAAACAAGTGTATAAAGCAGCGAAACACATTCTAACATACGCACACAATGCCCACATGAGCCCGAAAATAGTCCGAGGGAACATAGCGAACCGAATAATATCTGGAAAACTCTTTTCAACTTCAAGAGTTCCACTAGAACCTCACTTAAGCTTTTCGTTTCTTCAAAACAGTGTGATCTATCATAATGGTTGGTAACCAATGTAACATCGTGTCCTTTAGACTCTAAACCCACAGCAACATCCACAATCAATCTCTCAGCTCCACCAATACCCAGATCAGGGTGCAGAATAGCAACCTTCATTCTGTTCAAATACAGTATTTCAAACACATACTTAAGACCTCATATGAATCTGTTGGACATGAATCCACTTCGCAATGAACAAGACTAATAATTTATATTTATGAACTAAAAACGATCACAACCTATAAGTCACAACTTCGATGCCGTAGTGAACACCGGGCTTGAAAACAACGCAGACAAAAAAGTAGAAACCTAAAGAGCAGTCAAGATGTTGTCCAAGAGACTGCTAGCTCCAATTCGGAAAAGGTCTGGAGTAACCCAGTCTTTGCCAAGGATCTGAAAAATCATATAAAATACTGTTTAGTTCATAATAACGAACCTCTTCAACACAGGCCAAGAAAGAGAACGCTTCTTCCACAGTCTTAATACCTCCAGCAGGCTTGAAACCAACCTATGAAACCAAAATAGAAATCTTCATTAATTTGATTACTAACTTTCTTTCCGGTCAATTCATACCAACGCTTGATGGCATGGCACATAACGTAAGCAACTTCCAAAGTGGCGTTTGTTGTTTCTTTACCAGTGGAAGTCTTAATGAAATCACTTCCTGAAAATAAAACCAATAAGTTATGCATAAGCATGCTGAATACCGGCTAAGATGCTGGCCCAACTAGCTTTGTATACATTATCCAGAGTTTTCAATTCTCCGGTAGCCAAGATGGTTTTGAGATGAGCTGATCCACAAGCTTTCTTTAAAGCAAGAACTTCATCGTAAACAGCTGAATGAGTTGAACTTGATGAGAAAACATTTGAAAGACTTACTCTTCCAGTCCTCATCAAGAGCAGCAGCTCTGCTGATAACAATATCGATTTCGTTGGCTCCATCGGCAACGGTGAGCTCAACTTCCAAAACCTTGGATTGCAAATGGTATTGTCCAGAAGGGAAACCACCAGCGACTGAAACAATGCAATTAAGAACTGTTCCAACAAAAACGAAAGGGCACAACCGCACGCGCCATAGTTATGAAAGAAATGAGTTGTCATTGAATAGGCATACAACACGGTTCATACGAACAAACACACTCAATCGATAAATCCATTCGTATGATAGGGTAGAAATAATTCGTGAAAACCATGAGAGTAGTCTATTCTCATTTCCATTCACCCGAATCTCTGATGAGCACACAGACATGCTTTCACTGCTTGGTTTGAAAGCTTGTTTAGTTACATACCTCCTGTGATGTTCAGTTTTCTGCCAACACTCTTAAGGTAGTTCTTGACATCATGAACGCGTTGAGGATAAACGCAGATAGAGCCAGTAGTTATGTTGGACTGTAATCAAAATGGTTCAAATGTATTTGGCAGATTACCTACTCCTGACACTGGCTCAAGGGCTCTCTTGGTAAGAGCAACTACTTTATCCTTAGTATCATCTCCGGACAAGGTAGTTAAATCAATGTGCTGGATCAATTTCAAAAGCTGATCTTTCTGAAAACGAACAATACTGTATGAGCAGTAGATTTATCAACTCAACGTTTTTAGAGAGTTCCTTAGCACGAAGTTCATACCTAGCAGCAGCATCAGTGATTTCTTGACTATCGAAATCTCTGGCAACCTAGAACAAGAGAGATACATTTCTATTTATCGGATTATTGCCAACCTCTTTCTCGAAGGCGGTTTGATCAAAGCATTCCTTGTAAGCTCTTAAGAAAGAGTACAGGTTTGGAAGAATAACTGTGGCCATCTAAATTAGTAGAGTAAACACGATTGTAACGAGCATAAAGGTAAGATAGAGCTGTTGAAACAACATTTCTCATAGGAAACAACGTTTAGTGCTGAAATTCATTATGACGGCATATTTACGTGTTTAGATAGTAACAACAAATGATTTAGAAACCCATGGATACATGAAGTTTACCCTTTCATCGCATAATTACAAATAAACATTTAATTTGGTCCAAATCTAGCAGCTAGCCTGGGCTTTCGTTCTTTCGTTGATGCCGGAACCTCTTGCACAGGCAAACTTGTTCCATTCTTTTCATTTTTCGATTCCACTTTCTCTGTTGTGCTCGGTGTTTCTTTAACTTTGTTATTATCTGATCCATCAGTGGGTCTATTAGGAAGCCGCTTCTTTGGTCTGTTTTTGATCGGCTTGGAAACCTATAAAGATTGGTTAGATCAAACAATAGATATCTGCAAACCGTGCTTGGTTTCAGATCAGTTAGTTTAGGATGCTGCACGGGTTTGGAACGGTAATGATTTCCTTGATTGTGTCTTGGGCTGTTTCTGTTCTTATTTTTCTTTTCTGTTGGAGACTGTAACACAAGAAGAATTAGGAAATCGAAGGAAAAAAAATCAAACCTCGGCCATTCCAGAGTTCTTCTTCTCTGCAGATGTAGCATTTTCAAATAAGTTCGCGATGAGATCTGATCCTGATTTATTCTCAGATACAACCGCTTTCGGAGTATTGGTAACATCAACAACGGGGGGATTCTTTTCTCTTCCAAGAGCCTGAAGCTCTTCTACAAAGACTTTTATTTCTTTTGTTAATTCCTCAGGGGTTGGCTTTTGCGAATGTTTCTTAGGAGCATTCAGAGCTGCTGGTTTGCTATCTGAACTTTCTCGATTGAGATCAACAGGTTTGCTATCGGAACTTTCTCGAGACTTTCTCTCGTTATTGTCACTATGGGATCCCTTCTTCTTTTTAGGTTGTTTCACATCTGCCGCATCATTAGGAGGATTATTAGGGATGCCAAGTATGTTCATAAGATCTTGTCTCATTGTTACAGCTTCAGCTTCCTGGTTCTTCTTCAGAATTTTATATACAGGCGCAGTCGGCTTCTCATTCTTCATCTCATTCTTCATCGAAGTTTCCCGCGGATCGCGATCGTGCTTGGAATGCTTCTTGCCCCAATCATTAGGTTTATGCTTCTGATGTTTAGGAAAGTCTTGGTTGGATCTACCACTTCCGGGATTATTATTATAGTTCCGACTGTTATTGAATTGATCATTGTTCTGAACAGTTTAGGTTAGACTGACAGTTACGTGAAAGCTTACTCTGGGATGTGCATTCTGCTTGTAACCAGCCTTGTCTGCTTTGCGCTGAGCGTACTCAACTTTTTCGGGAGATTTTTGTTGAGCAGGCTCCTTTTTTTTGTTCGTCTTACTTGCTCGTTCCTTTCCAAACGTTATATTAACGAGTGAACTCAATTGAACTGTTGCACAGCTCTCTAGAGCACCCCTATAGAAAAAAGAAAAAAAAATAAACAAAAGAGCTGAAACTGATCTTACTTGGCATAGGCACCTTTGAATTGCTTATCAAATAAAACTTCGATAGTGTCTGCTAATATAGCAATCACAGTACCCTTTAATGAGCGTGTCAGTAGCTATCATTATAACGAAAATCAACCTGTAGTCCAAAGGGTACACCGGAGGAACTTGAAATGTTAACAACTCTGTCGAAAAGCTGGAATTCCACATTTGGATCTGGTAAGACTTTGCCTTCAAACAATTCAGCCTAAGAGCGATGTTTTAAAAAGAAGCATTGTAAGAAGAATGATTACTCGGAACAATCTTTTGGGGTTGACAACGCTTTTGAGTCCGAATACAGTCTTAGGTGTCTTTTTGATAATTTCTTCCATATGCGCTGAACGTTATTGATAAGTACAAGGTCATCATCAGTAACAATGCTTTCATTTGCACTTGTCATAAATCTTTTCACCAACCTATCATCACATTATCGATATACTCGGTGCCACTATCTTTCAACCCAATGTTTTTGGTTATAGCTTCAGATAAAAAGGTAGATAATGCTTCGAGACGCTCCTTAAGAAAATAAAGTTTCAGAGATGATGAGATAAGTCAATTACAGTTCGTTTCTTTGCGTTAGTCCATATGTCTTCAGCAAACAAAACCTCCTCATATCTCTTCTGTCTTTCCAGGAAATCCAGGACTTCCGGGAATCTGATACAAATAATGGATAATGCATTAGCTATGAAACGCTTTACCTCTCTTTATACTCAGCCAAAAGATTAACACATGGTGAAGAATAGAGCCAGTCTCTGCCATCAACAAGCTTTGTGAAATTGAAGGCCTTATCAATGAAAGGCTTAGCTAAGAAATATGGAACTAAGTAATACCTCTTGACTATTCTTGGTGGAGCGTATAGATAACCCTATATTAACCTTCTTGTTGTAACTTCCGTTAACTAAAAAGTTAGATTTTGAACCGTCAATCAAAGGAATGAATGCTGTGATACGACTGAGAACTTTTCGATTCACTGAAAACATAACACCTTAGCTACAGATTACTTCGATTTAAGTTCTGACTTCCTAGTTTACGAGCAGCGTCGTACGCTTTGAACCAGTGAAGAGAATACTTCTTCATGTCATTGAGCAATGGTTCAAAGGATGGTTGCTCATAAATAGCACTGCTGACATTTGTTTTTTCTTAAAACTTAAGGTTACAGGGTTCACAACTTCTTATCAAACTTGTTCCATCCGGATATTGAACATGGCTCTCAACTATGCTAGGAAAACCATATCCCTTCCAGCTAGGATCCAAAACAAATGCTCTTGTATTTGCTGGATAGGCTTCTTCAATAGACATGGGGCTTAACAAACGTCCTTCACTGGTGGATATATCCTGAATGTTCCCAAGAGTCATAAGTGTGGAAATAAAGGTGGAGATACCGTGACTAGAAGAGGTAAAAGAACCGGGATCAATCGATTATCAGAGCTCCATTGCTTCACAGGTACTACAGAATCATCGTTTACTTCATACACAATTCCTAAGAACTTTTTAACAAAAACTATAGCTTCAACTTTGTCAGCGACTATTGCATAACGACTAACTAGTCTGAAACCCTTTGTGAGATTAGCATCGAGAGGGAGACTAACCTTTCCCGTATATTAATGAGATACTTGGAGTATAACAGTTTTTCATCTTCAGTTAAGTTAATTTGAGTCACTTCATCATATCGCTGTCGTTGGTATTTGTGTTCTGGACCCCAGATGGAGTATACTTTGGCAGACTACATTTGAGAGTGATATAAGCAAACAGAATTGACAAACCTTTAGTATAGGCCAATCGATGAACACTTCCTTATCGATAAGGTCAAACGATACTTCCAATAGATCCTTAGCAAAGTTAGGCCTCTCTAAAGGTTCTAAGATCATAGATGGTCTTGTACTGTTCGATTGGAACACTCGAACGTTGATCTGAAGTTGAAACGGTAGGTAGAATGGATGTCTGAATAATCATACACTTTTCAGATACGCTTTGTGTGGTATATGCTTCATGGTGGGGAAGCCAGGGAAGTACACATCCAGCTTAACACCAGGTGCTAATCCCCATTGCACCTTTTCCTTGGAAATACGGAACAAATCCTTATCAACCAAAGTCTTGCTAAAATAAACAATGGATAAAATCTGATGGAGCGGACACTAACCTAGCTTCCTTCTTTCCATCCTTCATAACACATTGGAACAACAAATGATCACCATGTGTATTTCTTTTCTTCTCTTCTTCAGTAAGTCCACCAATCTTAAAAACAGAAAGGATCTACACGTGTTTGGAAGACAAAAGTACTTTCTCCGTAATTGCGTCTAACAGTCTCTTCTCATCAATGAAAGGAATGAGAACGACAGCTTCCCAATCGTTCTTTTTTCCGTTGAGGTCAGTATCAAAGTTGACAGGGTAAAAGTCCGAAATAGTAGATTCTGGTTTCATTAGTTCCTGAGATACATGTTTTAACAAGTTAAGAGAGCTGTCTTGACTAACTCTAAGAACTTTTGGCACAGAGTCTCCAGAAGATTCTGGGAGAACAGCAAGCAATTGTTCAAAAGGACTGAATGGATGAGACATATCAAAGCTCATATCCATTGTGGAGAAGTCAGTTACATCAGATATGAATGGAGCATAATGATGTGGGAAATACCTAGACACGTTCACATTACTCTCTCTACATATACGACTGAACCTACCAACTCCATGAAACACACCCATGGTAGTAATAATGCAAAATCCACTGAATAGCTCTTACGTAACCCTCTGATTGTCGCTTAACTTGATCTCTCGTGATATTTTTGAGTCTAAAAACGATGATGATGGTCAAGTTCACCGAAAAACACAAACTTCATCTTATCGCTATAATAAGATCTTTTATGTCTTTTGAAATCATTTCCAATAGCTTTTGTCCAGATGTTCTACAACAAGGAAATAACTTAATCAAGAATTACAATCTCACCTCTACTTTATTCTCGAACTCTTTCTCATCCATATCTTTGAACTCTGCCAGTGCGAGAGCCTCTGTGATTTCATCGATGACTGGATCATCTTCTGAAATTACCCTATATGAACATTTCGATCGTAAAAGTTACCAGTGGAGGCGAATGCAAGATCAGAAGCACTAGCGATGTCCAAATCACTCGAACTTTTCTTAACATCTGAAGAAAGCCAAATTATCATATTTCACAGAAGATTATAGAAACCTTCTTCTTCGTCGCTACTTAAGAACGCCAAATCTTTGGAAGAGCTTGGTTGTGGATCCTCTGATTCACTATCGTTTTCCATATCAGAATCTTCAAACTTCTGGAGCTCTTCGTCGTTCTCCAACAACTCTTCATCTTCATATCCCGGTTCATTATCACTTCGTTTAGATTTAAAGAATGCGATATTATCCATGACCTGATACGTACAAGGATTCTATGTATTCCAATAGTGTGCTAACCTGGACGAATTGATCTTTGTCTTTCAAAGCAACAGCTTTCAAGAAAACTTCAAACCGTTTGAGATTCAAGTAACCCGATTCATTAATATAACCTGAATAGTTTATCAACTAAGCCATCCTTCATGCAACAAACCATCTAGAGTGGGCAAAACCTTCTTGTAAGTTTCGTAAAGGAAAGGTAACGCATCGTCGTGAATGTGGATGTTGGGTAGATGGGGAATGAAGTCATTACCAATCAAAAAGCCCATCAAAATCCAATCGTCGACAATTCTTTCAGAATCATATTCAAAGCTCAGCTTCGACTGAAAGAGAAAACATGATAATGAAAAATCAGAGTGCAATTGCCTCGAGCGAACGGAATTCCCAGGATAAGTACTCTCGGAGTAATGACAAATGCAGCAAATGGAAAGTTATATCATTTGTGGAAACCCTTGAATATGACAATGACTAAAGCTGCCCAATAAATTCATACCGTTTTGGTGCTTCCTTCTTCTTCTTGCGAGTAGGAGGATTGAACTTGACTTCTTCACGAAGAAGAGAGAAGTGTGGCTCATGTGAGACTAATCCCAGCATGATCTTCAATTGAATTGTGTATTGATATCAAAGAATTCGGTGTTACCAAATCAGCATCTAACCCATACATGCAATGGCGTGTGTTAGGATCATAATTCTCAGAAATTCTTTCAGTACGTATGAAGTCCATAATCTTGTGTTCACCTTCACCCGGACACTATAAAACCATTAAAAGAAGCTTCCAAGTACCAAAGTTACATTATATCCAGAAAGATAAATTCGTGGTCCCTGCCACGCAGGATCTCCATTTATTTTTTCTTCAATCCAATCGCTTAGTTTTTGATGGAGAGCATCCATGAACGACGTTCCGGGAGTAATGCAATTCTTGTCAAATTTCTTTTCCAAAGGCACTTCTTGTTTTTGAGACTTTGCTTTCTCTAATTGTTCGAGGTCTGTGCGAGCAGACCTGATAATCATATTGGAAACATAATTATAACATAGGACTCTTACATAAAACGTCTAGCTCTCTGCTGATTCATTTTGGCTCTTGGAGCTACGCCGTCCACGGCAAGAAAGAACACCTTCTGAGGACGAATTATGCGATAAAGCTTCTATAAGTAAAAGCTTTCTATCTCTTCTCAACCCTCTTGTTTCTTCATGGCCAATCAATTGATGTTAGATGATCAATGACATTGGTAACCGAAACAGTCAGCTTACTTCTATATAAGCGAAAATATCATTGAAAATCTGTTCCTCAGTGATTCTAAATGTAATATCATCATCATTTGGATGTGAACAATTATGTATAATTCCGTTCATATCCAAATAGAGATTATCGAATGCTGGGATCTGAATGTGAGTGTTGTTTGAAAAACCGGACAACAACAAAACCTGTGCATCACTAATAACTTCGCTAAGACAAGGATAACGTTCCGAGAGCCATCGATAAAATTTTGGAACTCCCATCTAAAACAATTGATGGAATGAATGAGTAATAAAATTCTAATAATATTAATATTACTAAAAATGGGAATAAGTGAAATGGTCAAACAGACTACGGAGCGTCCGTTGAAATGTAACCCCACATTGCACGAACACAACCGCATCACGTTCGAATTGCATAGAAATGAACGATTGTTCTTCATTCTTTCTTGCGACGTGGAGGGATGGTTGGTTTTTCATTCAGCGTCTGTTATATCATGAAAAATACAACCAACATCTTATCTCCATAACATTATGCAATCGAATGGAAACAGAATAACCACTGTAATAGGACATGCGTTAAGTAGGTAGGCAAGAACGATCGCATGCAGTTGCCATAATGTTTTCCGTAGTATATTGATTGTCACAATTTGAGAAAATATAGTTTCCTATCTACTTTGGTCCACAATCGTCATTTTTTTCAACTTAAACACACGCCAATGTCAGCTATCATAAGTGTTAGTAATAATGTTGTTTCATAAGACTGCCAAATCTTCATGACCCGTCTAATTTCCGGAGCAAATAACTCAAACTACAAAGAAATGAAATCACTATTCAAATATTTATAATCTTTCAGTAATCATATACTCCTTATCAATTCGAGATTGCCTGTTGTGTGTGTCGTTAGAGAAAGACATTTCGCATGAATTTTTCGGAAATTACCAAAAGTGGTTGAAGGACGAACTTATATAGAACGCAAACATATACAAGTGGCTAATTATACACAGAAGTTTTGGAAATTTTCAATTTTTGATCCCTTCATCATTTGTCATCCTTTCCGCATCATCTTCTTCAAATGTTCATTTCATAATATTTCTCGGCGAAAAAAATCAGCTCAGGCTGTGCCAAAAGTGTAGTCGAGGTGACATTGGTTCATACGCACACCATTGCCAACTGATCCCTCCTCCTTTCCATTGCTGTTTCTGATTTTTGTTCTTCACTCTGATGCTCTCACGTTCCGGCCTCCCTCTCCCTCGGCCCGAGCGCTTAAATACCCAGGCATTCATTCTATGCGCTAACATTCTGTTTGTTCGTGTCTCCGACAGAATTTCCTCGCTTCGAAATATATATTAAATATTAAATTAAAATTTTATAGACTATGGTTCATTACAAGCTTAATTACTTCAACGGACGTGGAGCTGCTGAGGTCATCAGACTTGTATGTATCTAGACGGTTTCTCGTTTATCATCAATGTCTTTCCAGATCTTCAAATATGCCGAAAAGGACTTCGAAGATAACAGAATCAACAGAGATGATTGGCCAGCCTTGAAAGAAGGTTCATATCCAGTTTCCTCTAAATATTTAAAAGTGAATTTAAGGAGGCTTCTCTCCCTTCGGACAACTTCCAGTCTTAGAGGTTGACGGAAAGAAACTTCCCCAAAGTTTTACAATTGCCCGTTACTTGGCAAAACAATTCGGTAAAACCTGTTAGAGTCATGAATTGGAATTGAATGTCTAATTGAAGGAATCGCTGGTAAGAATGCTTGGGATGAAGCCGTTGTCGACTCTTATGCTGATCAATACAAGGATATGATGGTTGCCGTCACACCTTTCTTCCGTATCAGCTTCGGAATGCTCCAAGGAGATCTTGTATGTTTAAAATATCAGTAGTGTCCTTATCAGGTTTTCCTTATTCAGGAGAAGGAGAGAGTTGAAAACCTCGAACCCGCTGTCAAGAAGAACTTCGAAATCTTCACTGAAGCTCTCAAGAAAAATCCATCTGGATTCTTCGTTGGAGACAGTCTGACTTGGGTTGATATCTTGATTGCTTCTGGATACAGTCTTCTCTCTGCCCACACTTCAATTGCCACTGACTATCCAACAGTACTTTCATATGTCTGAAACTCAAACTCAAACTCTATCTATTGCAGGTCAAGGCTCATGCTGAAAAGATCAACTCTATTCCACAAATCAAGGCCTGGATCGAATCTCGCCCAGATACTCCATTCTAAAGCTTTTCCTGATGACTACATGAACTTCCTTCTTAATCTCGAATATGTAGTACCCAGCTTGTCTATACTGTAGAATAAAATATGCAATCTTAAAATAATTTATTATGCCAATTGATATAAAACAAACTCATACAATTTAAAATTCATGGCAGAGCAAAGAAAGTGGTCTGTGCAAACCTAATACTCGTGAAATTGGTTCAAGAATCAAGCGATTTCCTGGAAAAGCGAAGAAAATATATTTGCTCTGCAAGGTTTTCGGGATTGGCAATGAGATATCTGTTTCCAATATAATTCTTTAACTTTGAAACCTGTTGACTTATCGACGATGACAATAATGACGCCATTCTCTTCCAAATTTCCTCTACAACACTCTAGCCGGACACTCTCTATCTCTCTATTTTCCTTCCCAACACTCTGATTCCACACTTTCGCTATTTGTTTGCAACCAAGCGCACATACACAAAAACGCCAATTCAAATTTTTTTGACTTTTTTTTTGTTCTATTTTAAGAGCCATTCGTCTTATCTATGAATAAGAAACTATGATTAAATTCGTAATATCTATCATCAAAAACAAATCTCGCCATAGACGTTTGTAGAACTTTCTTGCTTTTGTCATCATTTTACTGCTGGAGTTTGTATTGCTATGCAATATAAATGTACCTGAGAGAGTTTCCTCTGTGATCTCTAGTAAGCTCCGCCTATCTGCCATCAACATATAAATAAGCAGGACATTTTACTTTTTCATTACATTTTATTTGCATTGTTGTTTCATAGGTATTTGAGGTATCAAGTTACTTTGCCTCTTTCAGGAAATCATGGTTCAATACAAGCTTCACTACTTCGACGGCCGTGGCGCTGGAGAAATCGTTCGTCAAATTTTCAAGTTGGCTGGACAGAACTTTGAAGATGTCAGATATTCCTTTGAAACTTGGCCAGCTGCCAAGGAATGTAAGCAAAATTATTGAGAGTCATCCTCAGTGTCTTCTTTCCAGTGATGCCATTCAAACAAGTCCCAGTTCTTGAGGTTGACGGAAAGCAACTTCCCCAATCTTACACAATCGCCAGATATTTGGGCAAACAATTCGGTAAGACTGTCATATATGGAAAGACTTTAAACGTGACTCTTAGGATTCCACGGACGTGATGCTTTCGAAGGAGCTTTGATCGATTCATATGCCGATCAAGTCAAGGACTGGTACACTGAGACTCGTGCTTACATCTCTGTTGCCCTCGGATTCGCCGAAGGAGATATTGTACGATTTGAAAATCATTAACAGTCTCATTCTACTATATTTTAGGAGAAGCTGAAGAATGAAGTCCTCGTCCCAGCTCTCAATAAGAACTTACCATTCTTCCAAACTGCCATCAAGAACAACAAGAGCGGTTTCTTGGTTGGAGACTCCGTCTCATGGGTTGACCTTCTCCTCGCTGAATTAAACCATAATAACTTCGACAAGTATCCAGAACTCTATGCCGAATACCCAGAGGTAAACTTGTAACCGGGTCGAAAGTTTTCAAAGTCCTCCTGTTTCAGTTGAAGGCTCACTTCGAGAAGATCCATGCCATTCCAGCCATCAAGTCCTGGAGAGAATCTCGCCCTGTAACTAAATTCTAAACCTGATCTGAGTCGTATCTTTAATGAATAATAAATTTTGTTGGAATGTCTAGTTGTTTGATTACCAACTGATAGAAGACTCTTGGCAGAAAGGAATTGAAAACATCGAAACTTGAGTGTTGAATCTCTGATTAGATAACCCATGAACACAAAGTTGATCAATGTGATGTGTGGAGCAAACACCAAAATTTCTGGAAATGGGTTCAATTCGTTTACAATTACACGGAGCAAACATAACCATGACAACTGCTTTGGATTTCAAATTATTCACCACGTTTTCTCACAAACTCAGATAATAGGCTGATGACTTCAGCTTCTCCAGAGCAGGGATGCGAAATGTGCTCCAAACATATAATAGGAAACTTGGTCTCGGGATCAAAGACCTAATGTTCCATCACGATTGAAGACTAGCTAATAATCTGGTAAATCACAATTCTAACAAGCTTAGATGAGCTCAGGCATTCGTTGCCTAGCAAGTATCTAATCTGCACGGGACAACAGAAGATTTGAAAAAAAATAGCTCGCGAATATAAAAATAATTAGATTTGTATTTTGCAAGTAACTTTGCTCTCTTTTAATAATTCATAGATTATGAGATAACCGGGTGCGATATAACGGTCCTTAGTCTCAAGAGGGGTAGAGAGCGATTGCCTTGTGAATATGGAAACCAACACAACTTATGCTTTTCATTTCTGATCACAGTTTGAACATCAACTTGAATCATCCAATGATAATATCTGGTTACGTGAAAACGAATATTGGTTTTTTTTTCCAAGCGGCGACTATTGTTAAGTAACCAGCTTGTTGTAAAGTTCTATTGATGAGAGCTACGGCAACTCTTCTCAATTTGCTTTCCCATATATTGTGTGAGATGGACAACTCAAAGAAACACCTAGACATCTTCACTTGAAGTTTACACGACTCGTGGACTTTCAAAAAGAGGAATCAACATAATCGTACTTTTAATTTTTGAAATTGCATATCATATACGAATAAGATGCAATTTAAACACCTAATTGCATCATGAGAATGTCATGAACTTCGAGAGAACTATGAGTTTCAATGAACAATATTCAAATTATCCAATATTCAAAAAAGATGACTAACTATGCACGGCGTCTATTGTGAAATGCGCGTTTGGCGCTCAAAAGATCATTTATCCAAAATGCATCGTGTGAAACGGTTGTGCTTGGGGTCTCCGCGACTAAATCATCTGAACATATTTGATAAACAATGCACTTCCAGGGTATCTAACCATATTCCGGAGATGATAAGTTGGGGGAAAGACACGAATTCATAACTCCTTGAAATAACCTAGAAGTTAGTGATAAACACGATAATATTCAGAAACCATTGCTTGATATAGCCACGTATGAGAAACCAGAGTGAGAACGGAAGACGTACATGATAAGAAGCTTTATCGGATAATTTAGAATGTATAAATTAGAAATAAATTAAATGGAGAAGTGTTATGTTTTACTTATAACCACTTCGCCTACGAATCTAGAATTGAAGTTCAAAGTAAGTTTCTGCATGAAAGTATTTTTCACTATATTCCAATTATATCTTGTAGCTCCAGCATTATATACAGACACCTTGACTTGCTTGGAGTATGGCTGGAAAATCATATCAACGGCGGCTGGAAAGATAGTGATTAGTTGATGAAACAGTTGTTAAGGAGTACCTCCAGCTCCAGCAGCGGTTTGCGTAAGTGCTCCTGATTCAACCTTTCCGTACAGAGGACCAACACCTTTTGTGTTACCGAGAGAGTTTTCAACCTACAGCAAAATATGTTCAGAGTAACTCATCAATGTCAAACTTGAAGAGAAGTATAATCATTGGCTATATCCACACCATACAGAGGTATATTAGCTGCAGCGATAGCATCCATCATCTGAATGATTAGTATTTGCTGTATGAGTACATTCAACTAGTAATCTACCGCGGCTCTTAATTCTGCATCTGCTCTCTGATCAGCATGAACAGAATCGTTGGCTTGTCCAGGGAAGAACCACACTTGTGTGTTAGCAGCATCAGAAGCCTGAATAAGAATACTGTTCAGATTATTCGAAGAACATGCGAACCTTAGTTGGAAAGTAAGTCCAGCCAATAGGTGGACTGATTTCCATGGTGAAAACAGGATCTTCGATATATTCATAGTCACCAGCTCCTCCGAGACCTTGAGGAAATATAGGCTGGTTTTAGTGAAGGAAAGATACCTGTACTGCATGCGACGGCAACTCCTATCAAAACGGAGCCTAACAACGTACGGAACATCTCGAACTTGCATGACCGTCTCGAACTTTCGTTACCTTATATAGGCGGCTGCTCATTTCGAAATTATCATAAACCATATTGCTCTAAACAAACATCCTTTCAAGACATAGCAGTAAACGTACTTAAAAAGCAAACAGAGAATAACAATTTATCAATGACTTAAGGTAACAATTATATGATACTCATACAACACAATTGTTTATTCAGATTTAGAGCTTTCCCAAAATAGAATGCCCAATATGGTGGGTTCAATACAATCTCGATCAATAGTTCGTGAACACCCGAACATTGTTCCTTTTCGGAATCTTACAAAGAATGACTTTACTAGATGGAAATCGCTTTTGCAAAGTACAAACTACATGTTTCGAAAAGATTTATTTTGTAAGTTGTAGGTACAAGCAGTATTAAACAAAACGTTGTGAAGGTCATAAACAGAAAGTGGTAAGTGATATGTTCGACGTATTAATGGAATATATAATATTTCTTTATAAATCAGTTGCCTGAATACCCGATTCACGAAAAACGAAATGAAGACTTCCTAAGAAGGGAATGGATCTAACAGAAGGAAATTAGGTGAATCCCGGTCGGATGCTGTTTCGCTTAGTTTTTGGACCGTTAGCCAAACTTTCTAGATCAGCAAACGAAAGCTCTGATGCTTTCTTCTTCACTGAAAATAGAAAAATTAATTGAGAATCAGTTTAAAAGTGAGTCGTCCATTTGTTAATGGATGACAGAGAACTTTAGAAACATTGTAAACGACTCTCGTTCAGAAAAATGCTATTCTATTTCAGTTCCCTTTACAACGCTGTGTGGTTTCCTTCGACAGGCAAAAAAACGAGGATACAACAGTCATTTACTCACTTAGAGTTTGGTCCATTTCGATTTTCATCTCGTCTGACTTCATTTTATATTTTCGAAGATGTTGTCGTTGAGGATGTGAAGATAAGCTAGCAGAAGCTTTAGTGTGTAGGAGCTGAAATTAGAAAGATATCTAGATAAACGTTATGCTATGCAGACCACCTGCACTTCGTCTTCAAGAGATTCTACATATACTGGTGGAACTTGATTGTGCAGTTCATCAACAATCAAATAAGCCATCTGTAACAGTTGTTAAGATATATATTGAGGTGGTCTTATAGTTCACCTCTAAATTTCTATCTAAGATGTAATTGAATTCAAAGTCTTCATCATCAGCTCCGAATGGGAACATCAAATCTTCACCAACTTTCAACCAACCCACGTAGAATAGGAATTGGAGTATGGTGAAGACAGGTACGTACCTTAAGCATTCATGAATGAATATCAAAAGAAACTCAGATGATAGTTACATGTCAACAATTTGGTTGTTTTCCGTCTGGCTCGGGAACTGACGGCCGATCAACGCGAAGGCGAAATAACCGTAAACGGATATTGTAGAGACCTAAAGAAATATTACTGAACTGATTTGATATAAGAACTAGCGACTAGATGAAATTAGAAAATGTATGATTGAGTGTGCCGGAGAATGATTTAAGAAGATTTAGCTTAACGAACACAAGACCGAAAAAATACAAAAGGTCAGGTTAGATTAAGACGTAACATTAAGGAAGTCAGCGCTCGGTCTTTCTTCGAAAAGGGAATCAAACGTTAAGTTAGTCACAAGTATATATAATTTAGTTCGTTCAACCAGGAAGGCATCCGAGCGCTAACCTGCGTATAAACAAGTGGGATTGTTATCCAATCATATGAGTACAGGCGAGCAAAACGTCGGCGAAAGTTATCAACTTGTTGAAGAAGAATTTGGAGGGAAGACATGAAAAAAAATGGTTAATAAGTAATAGGGAACTATACCTGGGTGTAAACCAGGGGTATGGCTATCCAATCATATAAGAATAATTGAAAGAAGCCAGTACGGTACTTTTCTAGCGAATCCAAGAGAACTCGCAGTTCGTTAGTGTGAGTCAAGGTGCCTTTTTCGAAGCAGCGAACCATCATTGTCTGCATCCAGTTTATGGGCACAAACCATTTCTGAAATTGAAACAGTACTGAACGAACATAATAATAATTTTCAAAAGCTTAGATATTCGCTCGGAATGCAACCTCACGCGTAATTTACATAAACACCGCACTCAGCAGTCCAGCAATAGTTTTCATTTCTAATTACAAACCACACTACCCGGTTGCACACTTTTTTCTGAAGGTCTGTTTCCACTTTATGTATCATTTATATATTTTTTACGGCAATTCAAATTTTTTGAAGTTCCGTACCTGATGTGGGTCAACAGTCACATGAATGTTTTTGAAAATATTCAATTCCTCTCGTGTCATTAGCCCAGAGTCAATGAGGTGCTCGTCGGTAGGATACCTATAAAGTCATATTGTGTTGTGTTTCCAATTCTATCAATTCACCTCGTTAACACTCGCAACGAGATACTTCTCCATGCAAGCACTGAAGCTAAGATGGCATAACGTGCTATAGTCTTTCTGATTATCCGTGTTTCCGGCTGAAAGTAGTAATTTCAATGATCGCCAGTTTTCTCCTTCTGCATGCAATATATGCTATCAAGATAGCAGAATGCTAGAATAGCTCGCCTAGAGCGATTTAGAGCTGTAACAATTGTCGATTTCATTGTAATATCACATTGGTCTATCACTAAATCCTGCATTGCATTCTATTTGCATGTTGCAAAGCTTGCTTATAGTTTACCCACAACTTCAGCCAACCTTGGTATTCATGAGTCAATAACGTAAGAAAGAAAGAAGTGTAAACGTCGTTGCACATCAATCACATAGCTCAAGTTCAAAAGTCATAGAGAAGTACACGTGATAGTTCTGATAAAGAGTTATTCCTCATTTTTTGAGCGTCTTAATTCTTAAACTCTGAAACTGACTTCACTGGTTCAGCCATGATTAATTATGAAACTTTTTCCGTTTCGAGTCGACATCAGCTGTTGGAAAATGAGGAACTAAGTATCCAAAAAATTTCAAAGATTGTTCAAAGCAGTGAAAACGTTGGAAAAAATGGATCAATGCTGAGTTTGATGACAACCACTCACAAGAGTTACATGAACATGAAGGTGACATGATGAGTAAGGAAACGATGACTGATTAGGACATGAGGAGGGAGGCGGATGAAACGTGTTTGAACTTACATCAGATCCTCGAATTAGTGCTGAAACATTGTACAACAAGTGATCAGGCCAGCTAATAAGTTGGCAGCAGTCCCACCACCTGGAAAAGTTTTTTTCATGCCATTTCTATTACACCTAATGGCTTCTTATGTATTCAGGAAGACAATGAAAGCTTGTAATGATTACCTCCGTACTATCATAGCTACATAAAAACCTAATAAGAATGTTAAGGGAATCTCCTTAGTCCAACTATCGAATAATATAACATATTTCATAAATATTTTTTTTTGATCCTCTTCTAGGAAAAACCTGAAAAGCAGAGTTATGAGAGTGAGAGATGATGAGATGAAAGAGTACGTACCTATATATAATATTAATTGAATAATAAAAGGAGAGAAACAATAACAAATGTTTCCAAATTGCTTTCCATAACGACCCTTTCCATCGTAATAGAAGTCTAAGGAAAGTATCTGAGTAACTAATGGTCATGTTTCGAAATGCTTCGAATATGAACAGCTACAAATATGGAAGAGGGGAGGGGGATGTAAAACTCTGAAACAAAGTGAATGAAGTACGCAGATTGAGATATACTTTATGAGCAATAGTATATATACGTGTATAGCGTAGAGAGTAGATGTGAATGTATAAAGTTATATTTATGATAAAGACAGAGCATGAAGCTCATTCGAGACAGTATGCATGAGGTTCATAAGGTTTCCTATGACACGCCATCATACTTGCGTTCAGAGCAGAAAATAGAAAGTTGCGAATAGTTGGGATGAAAACGAGACAGTTAAATGAAAAATGCAGAATGTAGTTACTTCTTCACATATTTATAGTATGAAGTAATAGAAAACACGCAAGAAAAGTAACATATTGTAAATAAACACAATACAGTTCAAGAGTGACCTGAAGTGTTATGTGTTGAAGTAGCCGAAAGCTCTAAAGCTAACACCTTCAATTAAAACAAAAATGCTGAAGGTTCATGTCTATCAAGACAAATAACTACAAAGTTGAGTAATCAATAGAATAGGTTTTCATTGATGTAGAGACTGCTCAGTGGCTGGTGTTACAACATTTGTGAGAGGAGTGAAAAGCTAGAAAAGAGCTGTGGTGTACCCAATTTTACATCCCATGTTACGTCATGCGATTAATCAGTTGTCATCTCTGAGATTCTATTAAATATCACTTTAATCTAATTCAATTAGCACCTATACATACAGCTGGAATAATATCTTCTTAAAGCATACGATTCTCATCTATATATATTCACAACATACTCAAAGACTCAGACTCATTTCGAAAATCTCTTGGGTAAAAACAAAAAAACATTTGCAAAAAAACAAAAACATTAAGTAAGAACTGAATAAATGATTTTAATTCGACAGAATATTTGAGAAAGAATATCTCGTCAAATCGCTGATAAACACTCCACACTCTCACTCTCTGTGCCAATAATTGAAGATGGGTTAAGATTTGTAATTACATTACTCAAGCACAACCATTCTCTTGCTACATGATAATAATAAATAAAATGATTTCCACGTCAGTTCCGCCTTCCATTCACGCATTCTCGGAATATTCTAATTTTGATTGACCTGAAATCATAATCAAATTCAATGTTCAACTAAACTCAACTCCAGTTCGCTCAAACCACCTTATTCAAATCGTTTTCTTCACAATGCAGTTGTGGCTGAGAAAACAAAAAAACATTTCAAACGATATCATTAGTTTACATATTAGGTATTCGACCAATCCAATTCACAAAACAATAAATTTCACAGTTTATATCTTTGCAGTATAGACAATGAAAAGCCGAAATATGGTCATTTGCTTCAAATGACTTGAATTACCTAATATGAACTAATATGAGATACGGAGCAACAAGTCTATTAATCAAAATTGTACTTTACTCCTTGTATTTACTGACCTTTAATCAAAAATAAAATAGATCACTTAACAAGACTTAACGAGTAGCGAAACTCTTTCATGAGGCTCCTGTCATATCGAATTTCCAGACGTGTTACCCTGCATTCTCGTTTTCTCAATGAAAGTAAGTATATCCAAGCTTAGACATTCACGTAGTTGTCTTTATTGGAGAGCTTATGATTGCCCTGGCATTGCTATCATTTGCTCATCTCATGTTATGTTTGCTTTTTATGAATTTCTCTTTCCCATAAGTTTCCAGCTCATACTCAGTATTGCTTTGAATACGCTGAACAACTAGTAACAACATGGTTCATATCAGACAAAACAATTTTACGGAAAAATAAAGGTGTTTCACAAAAACCAATCTAATTCTAACGAATCAGTCTAGTCTACTGAATTTCCCAATAATATCCTGGCACTGCACATTTACTCAAATCGTTCATGATGTTCAAGGTCGATTCAGAGAGTTCTCTCACAAATAAATAGACGGCGAACTCGATGTTCCGCACCTCCGACCAATATGATTTCTGACAGTCGCTACCATTTGTCATCCTTTATACAGAACAAAATTCAAAGTAAATGTCTCAAAATAGATGGTTACAGACTAAAATAAAGAATTTCTACGTTGATCTCTTTGGTCAAACGCTCTACTCACAGTTGGACTCTCTATTGTCATCATTTTTGATATCACTTGTTGTTTCTCTTTTCGTAAATGAATATGTCTCTGATAAGCCCTGGGTATTTAAAAGACGCTGATGCCACTCGTGCAACTTTCTCTATTTGTTCATAGTCTCTCTATAAATGACTTTATCACATTGCTTCAGAAATCCAGATGGTTCACTACAAGCTTACTTACTTCAATGCACGTGGTTTTGCAGACGTCTCTCGTCAAGTAAGAAAACCCTTGTTTGACTCTCCTCAATGTTATAGCTTAGCTTTTCCACCTTGCTGAAACTCCATTCGAAGATGTTCGTCTTGACGCTGAGCAATTTGCTGCTTTGAAGACCAGTGAGCGTCTTAAATCTGACTTAATCAATTACATCCAAGTTTAACAGCTTTCCCCTTCGAACAAGTCCCTGTTTTGGAGGTTGACGGACAATTTATCCCCCAATCTATCGCTATCGCTCGTTACTTAGCTAAGACATTCGGTTTGTATGAAATTTTTTTTGTTGAAAGCTTTTGTTCAAGGCTTTTATGGAAAATGCCCCTATGAGCAAGCTCTTGTGGATGCTATCGCTGACCAGTACAAAGATTTCTTCGTCGAGATGAAGCCCTATTACTATTCTGCTCTCGGACTTATACCAGCTACCCCAGACGAAATTGTAAGCTATTCATTTGTTTCAATATCTCCTTCGTTGTTTTAGAAAAAGTTGGAAACCGACATTCTCGTTCCGGCAAAGGATAAGTTCTTGCGCTATATGACCAATTACTTGAAAAAAAGTTCCTCTGGTTTGTTATCAGACCTTTTCGATGCATGAACATCTCTTTTATAGGCTTCTTGGCAGGTGGATCACTCACATTCGCTGATCTCATTGTAGCCGAACATGTCTCAAGCTTTCTTCTTAGGATTCCTACTTACGTTGACTCTTACCCTGAGGTTTGACTTTCCTTATTGACACTA